TATTTTATATTTAGCTATTTGCACCAGCTGTGCAACATTAAAGGAGCTATTTCTTTAAGTTTTGCTATTGCTACATTGCCAACATTAGCATCAACAGCTGTTTCCTTACCAGTCCAGAAGAAGCGTTTTGAGCATCAAACTTTCCTTTACTCACTGAGAGCTGTCTCCAGCAGCAGAAAGCAACGCCAATGTTAACTCTTGTCTCTACCATGGCTTTTCTTCTACTGAAGTTAGCATGCTAACAAGCTAGCCCCAGCCCATCTCGTCATTCTCTGATAGCGAAACACTGAAGTTGCCAATCTGCCATATTGCTGCTCAGAGTACGTATTATATCCTCTTGTCTTTTAAACGCAGCAATGGCTGAATCCCTCGTCAAGCAACAATCTCCACCACCTGACTCATATTTTTGTTTTTTAAAAATAGAACCTAATACATTCATTTATTTTCTTCCTTCCTTCACTGGTTCATTATTAGTCTGTCTGTCTTTTAGTGGATTTTGGGAAACATGGTAATGTCTAGTGTCCACGCACAATACATAAAACCAGTATCATTCACTTGTCTGCAGCACCGCTGAACTGTGTGGGAGTCTATGATGTGAATATCTTGTTTATTTATCTTTTTTTTACCAGAGATCCTTACAGCTGGTTAGCTCATGTTTCAGGAAAAAAGTGTTTTGGCACAGCCCATTGAGATTAATCTCGACCAGCGAGATTAGCTCTATCTCCGAGAGAATTAGTATAAGTCCAACTCCAATCTGCAGCCTGTAGTTGTCGGTGATGCTGATGTGTTATCACCCTCAGTTTCAGATGAAAACAGAGTGGGTAACCATAGAAACCCTGTGGAGAAGGGCCTTTAAACTAACAGGATTAGAGAGAGAGCGAGTGGCTCTGTTCCATTTCTGTTTTTGTTTCCGTCGTTATTTGTGCATATTCAAGATTAAACACTTCATATACCCTTGCCATGAGAGCAAAACAAGGGCCCTACATAGCCACTATGGCTCATTAAGTACCAACATAATGCATCACAGACGATGGTTCCTGTGTGGATTGTCACTTGAATTTCACATTTGGCCATCAAAGCCCCTGCTTGCTGGATGAGTAATGACTGTAACATCTCTATTCCTATGTCTCTGTTGCTCTCTGTCCATCCGTCTGTCTGTCTCTCTTTCTGTCTCTCCTTCTGTCTTTTCTTTCCCAGGGTTTTCTGCTCGTAGGTCTATGAATCGGGGGGTTTCCGACAACAACCAGTCTGGAGGACACAGCACTGCTGGTTAAAGAATACTGTGCCAATTTTTGTACTGTAAAAAATGTTTTTTTTTCTTTTCTTTTTTTTTTTTTTTTATACCACTTTAATGTTTCTGTTGGGCTCTGCGGTTTTGTCTGTAGCAAATTGGAAATGTTCTGTTCTCTGAGAATCTGTTTTGCTTGTTGATGATACTTCCAAAAATTATAAATTGATCATTTTGATTCATAATGTGTGCACCTAGTGTAATGACCTGCCTCATTGTGAATGCATGACCAAGACAAGAATATACTCAACAAATATAATATACTCTGTGTTATTGTTAAAGTAAAAAGGCTTTTATTGAGGTTTTATATTTGCAAGGAAATGTGCGGCGTTGATAACAAACAGACATTTCTGATTTCAGGAAGGAATGAGGGCTGATCTAATTTATTTGGGCTGTTGTTTTTATTTATTTATTTATTTCACATTAAAGGCTAAAGACTCAGACAAAGTTAGAAATGTGAAAGTTGTACAGGCATGCAGATGGATTGTCATATGGACAGGTCACCCTGAATTATGAAAACAGCGATTCTGCCACAGCCTCAACAAACATATTATCTAGCTCTTCACTGGCAATCCATCAAAATGCATCAGCCTCTGTGCCAGCTCTCCTCTTATTGGCCTGTCCATTCTCTCAACATCATAATCTCATGTGTCCCAGCTGGCACTTGCCCACCCACAGCAGCTTCATAGGAATGTGGAGGGCAGACACTAAAGAGGAGATGTGAACCTGTGTTACTGCATGTTAAAATAAACTCCAGCTATTAGGAAATACAGACTTCTTCAGGGCTCTCAGGTTCTATTGAATTATAGATGATTATTCAATATATCATACTGACGTTTTCAGAAACTATGCTTGTTCTCTTTTCTCGCTGAGAGTTAGATGAGAGAATCGAGGCCACTCTTGTGTCTGTACGGTAAACATGAAGCTACAGGCAGCAGTCGGTCAGCAGGCGTTCACACCGAAAAAAAGCCCTGCAGGGATGCGTTGGTGGGGGCGTGTTGTTTCAGGTACCAGTGAGACAAGCCAGGAAGTCCAGTTTGAAAAACTGATCGGTGAATCTGAAGGTTTATCAAACACCAAAACACTGCACAGCTTTTACAATATTAAGAGACAGAATTACAGGAACTGCATGAAAAGTTGAACCAGCTTCAATATCTCCTTACCACTGCCCTAAATATTAACACATTATATCTTGTTTGTTTAAGTCATACAAAGACCAGTGGAAAAACAACACATTGTGGTTTAACAGGAGTTTATGTGCCAGACTTTTTCTCGTCTGGAGGCAGGAAGTCAGTCTTTCCAGTCTTTATAGATGTAACCCTCATGTAAAACTGCAATTTTCACACATTGGTTTTTGTGCAGATTAAACAAACAAGATGTAATGTGTGAATTAATGAGCTTTAGATTTGATGGTAGGAAGCTTTTATTAGCCTTGGAATGAGTTAGCTGTTTCCCCCCTGTTTGCAGTTCTCGTGCTGAGCTAAGCTAACTGGCTTACATTAACCATACAAACACAATATTGGAATTGATCTTCTCACCTTACTATCAGCAAAATAGCAAATTATCTTTTTTTTTTTTTTTCCTGAAGATGTCAAACTACTCATTTAAAAATGAAGTCTCTCTGATGGAGAAAACATTAAGGGAAGCAAAAAAGATCTATGCTAGCACTCTGTGCTGCACAGATCACATCTGACAGCTGTCAACTTCGTCACCTACTGAGCTTTTAAAATTTGCATGTGTCAGCATCATAACTCCTCTGCCTCTTGCCTTACATTAACTCTGCTCCTGCCTACACACACCACGCTCAGTCTCTCTTTTGTCTCTCTGCATGATTTTCTTTTCTTTTTTTTTTTTTTGCAACCCTGCGGCTCACATGCCACTCTTTCACTGTGACCTGACACCTGATCAGTAGCATCAGCATGCATGTGTGTGTGTGTGTGTGTGTGTGTGTGTGTGTTTGTGTGCCATATCAATCATCATAAGTGTGTGCATCTCGGTATGAGTGGGTGTAAACATGCATGTGCTCAGGTGTATGTTTCTGCTTGTTGTCTGTTACCTTGTCAAAGTGGTCAGATTTTAAAATGAGTATGAATTAGCTTCTCTGCAATTCACACAAGCCTGCAAAATCTAATCTGACAGATGGTGTTTTTCTAACAGGAAACACATGGCCACATGGCTTTGAGTTTTGATCTCAGCAGTTCAGTCCTATTGTTACAAGTTCCAGTGAAGTTTTTTCATCCGGAGACGAGAGACGAGGGCGCTGCCGCTGTGGTCATTTGCCGCTTTCCAATGAGTCAGGGTTGTAATTTGAATATATTTGTGCAGGGGCTCCATTGTTTATTGACACCCTCTCTCTGCAGTAACCTGTGGCTTTTCTTGTCAACTTCTTGAGTCTTGTTTGTTCCCTTTCTTTGTCTTTGATTCAAATTAAAGATAGCTGTCAAGCATGATTAGCAGGTTTCAATGTGACATCCCAAACATCTGCTGAGAATATATTTGTTTTTCTGGTTGTTGTTTCTTTTCTGAGTCAACTGTTTTTACTTCTGGGAGAAAATGGGCACGTCCCCATTGTCCCCATTGTTGCTCATTCTGGATGAATGTCTCCTCTGTATAATTTGTTCAAACAGATTGAGTTTAATTGGAATGAGAGCTGTCAAGAAAATGTCTGTGATGTAAAATGTGCAACAGGAAAACAATTGATACGAGATATAGCTTCTATATATAGCTTCTATATATATATATATTCAAAGACAAAGTATAAAATATAAAGAGTACCACTTTGATCTTTTCTAAGAATGTATTTTGATTATGTAAATGAGCACTATGATTCTGCTTGATTTAAAAATAACAAAAAAAAGGCCTATTCTATATGGTGTCTCTCATATCCTTTAGGTATGGGGATAAAACAGCAGCATTAAATAAATGCATGGTGATCTTCTGTCTCCTGTTCATATTTAAAAAAAAAAAAAAAAGAAAAAAAAAAAAAGCTCTGTCTATTTACCAGCACTGTGTCAGTCAGTGAGACTGTATCGTGAGGTCCGGCCTTTCTCACATGGGCTTTGGATGCTTCAAAACTTTCTTGAGGGGTTTCTTTTTTTCTGTGTTTGCATATTGCTGCTGCTATTAACAACTCTGATCCAATCAGCCTCTGCTATAATGACCTTTGTTGTGTAATTGATCGAGGATATTCCATTTTAATGCATCAACTGCAAGGACTTTGCATTTACTTACAAATAAAGAGAAACATTTACAGAATATGTCAACACAGCTGCTTGGTTTGGTTTTTTTTTCTTGTTTATAGAAGAAGTAAGTCAGAATGGAAAAGTTTATTCCTGCAGTGGGACTTGTTTAAGGTCAAAGCATTTTACTTTGAAGGTCGGATTTATGTGTTGATGAAGAGCTTTTGCCCTGAAAAAAAGAGTGGCAGCAAACAAGCCAGATGCTTCCCCCTCCTCTTCCTGTCTTTGTAAGTGCTAGTTGTCATGGCTCAGAGAGTCAGCACTCAGAGTACAGAGATGCCTCTCGGTGCCATGGCAACCTGTCAACAAAACAAGCCATGCAAACGTACACTTTATACGTTTACTTTACAGGACGACTCTGATTGGTAACTGGCTGTCAGTTAGTCAGGCTGTGGCCTTTCTAATTAGCCCAAAGAGTTTGACCCTCCCTATAGAGCAAGATAGGTTGCATGAACACACACTGCACTGGCTGCTGGTCAAATACAGTGCAGTGATTTCACTCAACAGCACAGATATTTTACCGGCAGGTTGGATCTAAAAACAAACAACCAAAAAAAGAAGGTAAAATTAGAAACTGATTTATGCAGAAAAGCAGCAAAATACATATCTATCTTCCTCAGTATTAATATCACCATTCCTCTGTGTCAAAGTCATGGTTCATGGGAAGAAGTTGGCCAAGGAGACGCTGCTGCCGTCTGTGCTGGAAGACGATGACGCAGAAACAGAAAGTGAGAAGCTGCAGCTGGGGGAGGTAGGAAGCTGACCGTCCAGCCAAGTCTCAAAACTCTTGAGCAAAGGAAGTGTGATTAACCAGGTAGGCAGGTGAAGGCATGCAGAACTTTTCAGAAGCAAACTTTTGAGGATTGTGAGACTGAATAAGATCAGCAGAGGGTGTATTTGGTTTTAGAGAGGGGGTCTTAACCTCAACATCATCTCATCTCCTGGTATGTCTGAGCATATACACTCAACAGAAACAGGCTTGAAAAATACAGGCTAATGAACTGCTAGTTCCTTTTATGTTAGGACCTCTCCTTTGACCTTTGTTCTCACATGAGTCTCACCCTGACAGCCTGTTTTAATTAGGCTTTTTTTAGTGCCCTGGAATATAATAATAATAATATGTGCAGTATCACTCACATGCCAAATAATGGTATTTCTGAGTAGCCTATTGACTCCTGTAAATAACAATGTATGACATGGCTGACTTGTGACACATCACAAATAAAAGGAGTGAGAGACAGCTAAAACAGCTTCTGGTTCAAGGGGTTAAAGGGAGGTGGGGTGGGGTCATTACAAAGACTGGGAGGACGGGAAGATAGCTTAAAGAGACAAGCTGAAATGGTTGATGCACACTGATGGACTCAGTTGTCCAAAGTGTAGATATCGTTTTTTTTTTATTCTCCTGGCAAACCGAGCGCAGCCATCAAATCTCCTCACTCAGACTGCCAACAGCAGCCAGCTTTGACGAGTCACGACGTCTTACTTTCTCATTCTCCACCCAGCGAGGAGCGAGCCGGACAGAGGTCGACGTGCGTGGGCCAAAGGACCAACGCTCAAGCTCTGATGGGAATGTGCTAGACAGAGGTGAAAGAGAGGGTGAAGAGAAAGAGGAGGAGGAGGAGGAGGAGGAGGAGGAGGAGGAGCTGGGAGGAGAGGAGTTTGTGATCTCTGACGAGGACTGCGACACAGATTTGGAGCTGGAAGGTATAGAGAAAGTTGATTTTAGATAGAAAAAAGGAGATAAATTGGCTGGGAAAGTTATTAGATTTTGTGGGTGTGATGTTCCCTCTTTGAAAAAAAAATGGGGAAATGGCTTAAGTAATTTCATCCTGTTATTTTCTGTCTGACATAAAATTTTACACTAGGCTCACAAAGTATTTTGATAGTGAGTTTTAATTTGATCTGGAGGAGAACATTCATTGATAAGGCAAAACTCACCCCATCTGTTAATCTTTTCCCTACTGTCTTCTCATCATTACTCTCTAAATGATTTCAGAAAAAGGAAAAAAAGAAAAAAAACCAAACAAAACAGAAACTCCTCCACACGCCCGCCCACACATGCAGAACCCTGTTCTGCATCTTAATGATTTCATCTCAGTCCTTGTGTCAGAATTCCTTTTTCACCAGAAGTGAAAACCATCTGGTATGAATGAGCCCCCCCCCCCCCCCCCCCCGACAGGGCGAAATCAGCCACAAGGGAGTTTTCAATATCACACTTTAAAGGTCCTCCTCCGGGGGAAACTACCACATCTCTCCCTTTTATTCAAAAAAAGATATTGAAAGCGAGCGATCCAGACAAACACACTCCAGCCAGTGTCTTTGTTTATGTTGCAGGTACGGAGGAGGCATACGACCCGACGGGGCAGACATACTACATGGAGGCGTGTGAAAGGTTACAGGTCGTGCCTGCCTCTTCCTTCCTGCGGCACATTAGAGATAGCGAGCTGTCCATGGCGCATTATGGACTTGGGCCTCAGGTACTTTTAATCATAAGTTAGGGACTGTATGAAAATTATTAGAAGGAGAGGGAAGTGGAATTGGGGTAGGTAGGTTTGGGAGAAAGTTTGTTCATGTAGTGACAATAATACCTGATTACTGAGAAGAAAAACTGGTTTATCTAAAAAATGATTGACGGTAGTGTTTGACAAAGAGGTAAAGGAGAGGCAATATGACTCCAAATGAATGACATTATTGCTCCAGCCAAGTTAAAACCTGATGACAGATTAATGTTGTGTTTACAGTTTGTTTCCGCTGCCCCCAAGTGGCAAAAAAAAAAATCATATATCAGTCTCAATAAGTTCTCAAGGGAAGACGCAAAAGAAAATATTAATAACACTGGGGATGCTTAATTAAAAATGAAATATTGAAATATCCAAGCCAAATCATTTTCATACATTGCCTTAGACTGTCTGTTTGTCTCAGCTTCACAGCATGTAAGAGACCTTTTTCCCTTTTCATTCACCTGTTCCCCTGTTTCACCTTGGGGGGGGGGGCAGCTTTCTTGTATAAGAGCCACAAATGTTTGAACCTCCATGTAGAGATGTCCTCACATACCACATGCGATTAAAAGGTCCATGAGTGAATGCTGGACATGTTCAATAAGATTAGACTCTAACGCTATTTCACATCAGCCCAAGACCTTTGTTCAGTGAGTGACTCATTAATTCAAAGTCACATTCTCCTCCAGGGGACTGCACTGATCATGAGAAAGTCTGGGGAGCACTGTGTTAAGTTTGAAGTGAGCTTGAAGGAGTTTTCAATTCTTTCTTAGGAAATAGATCAACACACATACGTACTGTATATTGGGTTATATGAGAACAAAAACATGTAGACACAATATTGCCATTATAGCTGATACTCAACAGGACCATATAATAAAGCTACATTTACATGGGGCAAAAGGTGAAAAGGATTTGCTTTCATTTAGGAACAAAAACAAGAACAAAGAACATTCCCCCAGATGTAAATGAGAATTTAGATCTGCATAATGATCTCTCTCCGAGTATAAATCAATACAAGCAGCCACCACTCTCTTTGAAGAGGTGAAGGACTCTCCACTTGAATGTGTACTGGTAAGATCTACATAATGGGCTAGACTTATGCAGTCTACATATATATATAAACATCAATATATAGACATCGATCAACCACAACACTAAAACCAGCTTGATTTTGTGTGTGATGGGTGTACACAGATACAGATCTACAAAGACAATAATCAAAGAGGCTTTTGGCGGGTTTACATGTTACATTTAAGTCATATATTCCAGAAAAAACATATATCTAGTACATTTCTACAGTTAACTTTAGCTAATTTTAACCCACATGTCAGCAACAAATAAACACATTTTTAACAGTTAATCAATTTAAAATTGCTCTGCAGTTGTACATCTGTGACTGACAGGAGAGTACGTCCTCTGCAAATGAGAAAAATGCATTGCCTGGAGCTCTTAGCAACACAGTTTGACATTTTTACAGACTTTCACTGGTCCATGACGCTGTAAATTAAAGTTGTAAAAAGTAAATCCATTCCTTAACAAGCCATTTCCCAGGGTTTTGGCCTCAGTAACATTATTCAGGCAGATTAAATTGGATTTTGAATAAATCTTCATCTGTCAATCATAAAGGGTAGAAGTAAAGAAACTAAGTGCAGCAGCAAAAAGGTTATTTATTTAATGTTTTGCAGAACGATAGGCTTCTCAAATCATACGGAAAGATACTCTACGTGCATTTAAACACACCATCCTCTGATGGGGGTTGTTTCTGCTCTCCTTTTTCTAAAGATCAAGTTAGCATAAGGCTTCACGCACTCAACTTTCTCATTAGCCGTGCTGGAAACTATAATTTTCATGTTCTGCGAGCTTCATTTCTGACCCACGCCTCCACACGGCTCCCCTTCTGCTTCATTTGTCTCACACAGGTTTGATATTCCTCTCTCCCTGTCTTTCTCTCTGCCCACCTGCATCAGTACATCTACTCTTTTAACTGGAATACAGATAAGAAAACATGCTGCAGTGAACAAACAGAAGAATTTCACTTTGAGGAAAGGCATTGGTTGTGTGTTTGCAGGGCACCAAAGCACTGGCGGTTCCCCTGGTAACCAACACTTCAATACTGAGGCTGAACCTGCGAGATAATTGGATGGAAGGAATGGGCGGAGCTGCTATGGCCAAGATGTTGAAGGAAAATTGTTACATTACAGGTGGTTTCACTGGGCACTCAAGCATGCACACATTTTTTCTTCCTTTTCCCTTACTCTGTCTCACCTCTCTCTTGCAAAAGAGCCACCTGCACTCCCACTCGTGAGCCACACTCACCTCAATTATATGCCACAGCACACGATTTAACATCTGGGTCCCTGTTTAATATTTTTTAAATGTCAGTCATATGTGCAGTTCAGGAACCTATAGGGCAATCTATGGAGAATGACTCCTGTGAGTCATGCAGGCTCTTCCATCATGCACCACTATTCAACTTTCAGGAGTAATCCAACTTTAGGAATATCCAGTATAACAAATTAGTTGCCAATGTAGACATTAGCAAACACTGAATTTCATTTTAAATGAACAATTACACAATAAAATAAAAGGATTCGATAACATTATGAGAATTACAACAAAAGTTGTCAGACGATAATGTCTTTTCCAGATTGCATGACAATTTATCTGATGGTCTAATACAGTGGTTCCCAACTTGTGGGTTTGGGCCCACTGGTGGGCCATGAAGGTATTGCAAGTGGGCCGACAAATCATTTGCAAAATAGTACAATTTTGGTGAAAAGATGTAATTATAAAAAAATGTTTTAAAACGAAGAAAACATTGAAAACAAACCCTACATTGCTCTTTTTTCCTCAAATTAAGATTATTACATTATGATGTGATAAGCCAATCATGGGAACTTTTATGTTGTCGCTGGGCGTACCACTCGTTTGCTATCTCAGTCTGATTCTGCACTAAAGGATTACATCCTTGGCAAAAACTGGAGTATCAAAATGGTTAGCTGATGGCAACAGGATGAATTAATGAGAAAGAGAGTCAAGAGACAGAAGTGATCTCTTCCCCGTTAAACAAAAAAGAAAAATTGAGCTTTCCTTGCTTTCAGTTTAATCCTGAATATTTGATCGTCATTAAAATAAAAAGTGCTCTGAGAATGTATTATTTAGCGTCCGTGTTGTTTATCAGGTCAGATGTGGGCCGCAAACATTTTTGAGATTTTCAAGTGGGCCATGACTTGGAAAAGGTTGGGAACCACAAGATTTCATTCACACCCACAAATGTCAACCACGTGGTGGAAAACTCTGGGAATCACCAAAATCAATAGGATTTGTCATTTGGGAGCAATGCAATTATCACATTATTTCAGCAAAAGCCAAAAATACCAACCTGCTGGTGGCATTTGAAGAAAAGGTCAGAGGATCGCCAAAGTCAGTAGATTCATCCTCAAGGGACCATGAACGTCCATACAACACGTCATGGCAATCCATGCAATAGCTGTTGAGGTATTTCAGCCTGGACCAAAGTGATGGAGCGACTGACAGGCTGATATCGCTACAGAGACACGCTAACAGCGCAGCTAAAAATGGCAGGTGTGACCTTTGGTTTGCAATTAAAGAGTAAAACATCTTTTGAACTGGTCTAGAATTCAAATGAAGTTTTCTATATTTCTTCCCCAAGGGCATTTTCTCAAAGAAGAAGTGATGAGTGAGAAGTATGTCTGACAATATCCAGAGCCTTTAGATAATGCTGAACCTTAAATTGAAGAAAGGGATGGGATTCATTTTGGATGTTTCTTTTCAGGAGTTGTCAGACTACCAGCACATGTTCCTCAACTGATTTACAGTAGAATGAGATCATGGAAAATACATAAACTTTTCCTGACACATAATGGGTTTTTTGACTGTCCTCTTTCCACCATACATGACCTCTGACCCGCGTGTGTTTGTGTGTCAATCCCAGAGGTGGACCTATCCGACAACAATCTTGGGGATTACGGGGCCAGAGCCATAGCTGGGATGCTTAAGGAGAACAGCACCCTGGTGAGCCTGAATCTGTCGGGAAACCATTTCACAGACCGGTCTACCGAACACCTCGGCCCGGCTCTCATCACCAACACCAGGCTGCAGCACCTCGACATCAGCCACAATGCTCTGGGAGAGCGCGCAGGTAGCAAATCAATTAGATATACACAGTAAAAGGTCTCATACTTTCTGTGAGGCTCTACCCTTTCAAAGAATGAAACAGTACCCATGGCTGCCATTTTTATTGGGTTGATATTGAAGGTTTGCACCGTGGTTACATATTTTCGAAACTTTTTCCCATCAGCAGCACCAGATAACTGAACTTCAGGACCCAAAAATTACATGCGGCATCAATAAATAGCAAACAACATTAGAAGAGGTGTGAGTAATGAGGTGTCAATGGGTCCAGTTTCTTTAGGCAGAGCTGTCTCTCTCTCAGACAGATTTTTTTGTTGTTGATTTGTGCCAAAAAAGATAACAAAAAACTGCATTCTGACGTATAAACTATGTGGCCAAAAGTATATGGACAGCCAAACAAAGCATGTGGACATGTTGTTGTGCAGCTCTGGTGCTGTTTAAAGGCCCTCCACCACCTCTGGTTTCAGCTCGGCTGCAGTTCATCCTGAAGGTGTTGGAGGTCAGGGGTCCCGCTTTAAAACTTCAAGACTGTTGTGACAAATTTGGAGGCACGCTATTGTCTGAAATATCATTGTTTGCTGCATCATTAAGATTTGCCTTAACAGCACCAGAACAAAAGTACACCAAAATATATGGACAGATATGCATACAGTAATAAAGTTCAGATACCTTTGGTCATATAGTATAAGTCAGACTGTATATAAAGTCGTTTCTGTAATGATCTCAGGATACTGCAATTATTCTTAAATATTTTTCACTTGGACATAATTCATAAATTTTCCATCTACTGAAGTTAAAAAACAGCACATTTCAGCCTAGCAGAATCTTTTAATTAACTTATATGTTCTTTTGTTCACACATAGTAGCAGTAGTTGTTGAAAGCAGCTGTATAGGTGAATATAAAGTGCTGTTTTTCTGCCTTATTAAATCATTATTGAATATACAATAAATCCCTTTAAACTGACCAATAACTGTGAGGAGTGCAGATTCATTTAACATTATGACTGTATGCAATTACTGGTATCGACTATTATAGGATTTTCTTTGGAAATCCATTCTCATAAAACCCACTAAGAGTTTGCTGTGATGATGTAGCCTTATCTCTAAGCAGTTGCAGGACAGCAGGCAGCAGCAGACTGTGGCATTCAAAGGTCAAGAACGTTTCGCCTTCATTAAAACCTCTTTCAATTATCATGCGGATGAGCTTTCTGACAGGCACCTTGCGGAAGAATGGCAGACCAGGATACACTGAGCATCTGATGTAGGTAATTGAAAATAAATCTTTCTGTAGGAAAGGGGACAACACCATGTCTCATTGCCATGCGCGCGGCTATGATTCATCCCCACATATTCAATTCTGTTTTCTCCCCTGCTGAAATATCAAAGGACATCCTTGTGCGATTTGAGAGCACTCTTCCATATAGCAGGTCCCTGAGAGAAAGTATACCACTCAAACACTCTGACATTCATGCTATGATGTTATTGCTTTTTCAGCCAAGCACAGTAAGAGCGTCTTTTTCTATGATTATGAGCCACTGAGTGCCATGCACTGTCTTATCCCTGTGATAAAGTGGTTTGAGATGATGATGGGGATCTTTCTCTCTAAGGTCTCAGCCTCTATGGTCCTCACTCACTAGTGCTTTTATGCCATGAAACACACAATCACGCCATCTCAGTGGAATTTACTGCAGATATGATAACTGGCACCTAAAGAGCACAGAAGTGGTTATTTGTGTGATTGACTTTAAAAAGCACTTCCAGGTACGCTTTCTTACCACTAAAATATTTAAACAATGATTAACACTGAATATAACAATGATTATACTATACTATACTATTGCCATTTTGGGGGAAATTTGACATTCTTGGTTTTTTACAAATGATCAATATGCAATGATAAAAACTTTTTTAAATTGTGATTTAATTTTGTCATTCTGCCAATAAGTTTTCTTATTTCTTTCTCTCACTCCTAAGGGCAAATCCTCGGAGACTCTCTGTCAGAGAACACGGGGTTGAGATCACTAAGTCTGGCCTGGAACGGCATTAGAGGGAGAGGAGCTGTGATGTTAGCCAATGGCCTCGGGGTAATGCTCCTAGAAATCAGTGTTTGAACAATATATTAGTTTTTGAACTCATGTAAGACAAAAGAAGATCTATGTAATACAGAGAAAGATAAGACCAGGATACTTTTTGTTTTTTGCTCTTCAATATTCAGAAAGAAAGAATCAAAAAAACATTGCTCATGTCAGATTGACACACCTAATATAGCACTTATAAAACTGAATTTGTTTTGACAACCACATGTGATTGTTAAACATCTCATACTAAAACTTTCAGCATTAACAGTCTCAACTCATACTCTAAAACTAAAATGACTAAAACTCCTCTCTTAAATTTGGCCACAATAGCATCACTGAGGTCCAACAGCGATGTTGGCCGATAAGGCCTGGCTTGCAGTCAGCATTCCAGTTCATCCTAAAGGTGCCGTAAAGTTGGAAGTCTGCTATTGACTAAATTATGCTTGCATGCTGTAGTTTTAAGGGTTCCTTGATTGAAACTAAGGGGCCGTGAAAAACAGCTCCAGACAAAAGTACCTAAAAGCAGCTGGATAGGTGGACAGCCATGTCCACACACCTCTGGCCATATACTGTACAGAACATAAGGTATTTTCTATTGAAAGGTGAATTGGCAAAGAGTTTTGGATTAGCCATCGAGATTTCCCACAGCAACATTAGTGAAAGCGTCAACATCATGATGTCTTGTGGGGATGCTGGTTTGAAAGTATAAACAGAGCTCGTACAGTATATGATGATCCAGTAATGCAGCTTGGTAGAGAATGATATAACCTGGCTAACATGCTCAAACTACAGTTTGAAACAGCTCCCTGGTCTTGTATTCACCAAGCTTCTCACCACAGGAAGGGCAGGAAAGTGTATCAGCCTTTTTTTCTTTCCATATCTGAATAACCAAGATGGTCAAGAGGAGCCTGTCTCTAAGATGCACTGACAGGTTTGAGTGATTAATGTCCTGAGATGCTCACTTTAAATTAAGGTGTGTCTTTGGCTCTTTAGTTAATCTTAATAGAGAACTTCCATTTGTTTAAATCTCCATTTATCAAATTCTTTTCTGTTTTTATAGGGAAACATTTCACTCAGAACAGTGGATTTGTCATTTAATGGCTTTAGTAAAGAAGGAGCCATTGCTTTAGGACAGGCTCTGAAAGAGAACAACATTTTGGAGGAGCTGAATATGAGGTATGAGCCTTTGTTATCTTGGTATCTGATAATCAGATTAGTCTACACTAACTGAGTTATAAGAGGCGGAGGCAGCAACTTCACATTAGATAATTAAATCTTAAGTCATGAATGAGAGCAAATGACATCTCGTTTAACTTCTCAAGCAAAATAAATCTCGCCTCACAAATTTCCAGACATTTGTGCTCCATGGATGAATAATGCCATTTAAGAAATAACACTTTATGATTGCTTCCCTCACACTCCAACACACATTTTGTTTTTGTTTTTTTTTGTTTTCTGCATTTGTTTCTTGCCACAGTAACAACCGAATACCCCCTGAAGGAGCCATCCGCCTCACCATGGGCCTCAGAGTAAACAAGACAATCAAATCCCTGAATGTAAGCTGTCGAAAAGAGATTGGTTCTAGCTTCAAAAGCAAAGGGGGGCATCAGTGGATAAAATGGGATAAATAAATGGATCACTGTACTTTGTTTTAATGTCAACACCAAAGCTTCTCTGGGGCTCATCTCAACTGGAGAAGACACTAAATTAAGTTACAGCCTGAACATTAGATATTGATTTTCTTGTGCTCACCTGAGTTGAAAATGGAGTTTGGGTGTTTGATTGCATATGCAGGTCCAAAAATCTTACAATGAGCAGGTTCATCTGGGAAGTTCATGATGTAAAAATGAGATCAGCTATTTTAAAGTTTCAAGGTTCAAAGACACAGTTCAATTTGTATCTGCATTAGAGGCATCTAATTATTGCAACTGTTCTTTTCCTCTCCATATAGTCTTCTTAAAACAATTGTTTTGGTTTATTTTATGTGGAGAGTACACAATAAATTACACTAATGTGGTGATGAGCCAAACGTCTAAGAATAAAAAAAATTGTTCTGCATTTTGGGAAATTTGAGTGTTAGATGAGAAAAATTATACCACTCCCTTTCATGTCTGTACCATTAATATGAAGCTATCAGTGGACAGACACAGGCAAGATGTTTCCAGTCTTTCTGCTAAGCTAAATCAAGCTAACTGACTCCAGGCTCCAGCTCCACAGTTAACACACAGAGTGGTGCATGATCTCCTCATCTAACTCTGTACCATAAAGCAAAAATGTTGAACTATTCCTTTATAATTTGCTACACCAAATAGAGGAATTATTTTCGAGAAAGCTGCAAAGAATGAGGACCTATTTTTAAAAGCCATTGTAGCCTTAACAGTATATTTCATCAGATGCATAACCAACAACACAATAAAGACCCTCTTTCTCTGCTGTGACATTATTGGCATATTCTTACATTTATAATGTTTGTCTTTGGCCAGATGGGCAGGAACCCCATCCTCAGTGCTGGGTGCTATGGTATCCTCAAGTCTATACAGGAAAACCCAGATTCAGCCATGGAAGCATTAAACTTTGCTGTAAGTCACATATACTGTATTTCACCTTTGTAAGAATTTCTGCAAATCTTTTTGCAGGAAAACTTATTCAGTAGCTACTCTGTGTGTCACTCTTTTTAGGGCATCCCGGTGAACCAGGATTTTGAGGACTTGTATACAAAAGTGAAAGAAATATTCCCTGCGCTTACAATAAACCATGGGGGCAGAATTGGCACATTCAGAAAAGCAAAAGCTTGAAAAGCGTTACTGTAATTGCTGTACTTTTATGCCAGAAGAGATGGAAGGAGTCTTGTCAAAGCTCTGTGGATGTTTTCATCAACAGATGAAGCAAAGGACGGATGCCTGCAAGGATATCATCTTTTAAAAAGCTGTCATTTCTGTAAAAAGATCCACGAGACATATCCTTCTGAATAAAATGCATTTTGAATATATAAAACTGGTTCAATGTTAAATGAAAATAAAGATATTTCCGAGGTAGTTTGTTCATTTTCTAAAAGAAACGCTACATAAACAGCTTGTGTGCCATTAGCAATACAGTGTTGTTAAAGCTATTGAACACGGGTACAGGTATTGAGTTTGATTCATTTTAGGTATGATCTGATTTGATGTTATATAATGTCAGTGGGTAGAATGATGGAGAGGATCAGAGAGCACTGCATTGTGTATGAAAAGAACTGAAAGTGGGTTGCACAAAAAGGATTTAAGTACTGCATGACTAGTCTAATAGAGAAACCAGATTTGAAAGAATGGGTCACTATTAGATAAGAGACCTGTTTACTGCAGCCGGACAACTCAAATAGTGTCAGATACAGTAAGCAGTCATTTGGAGATGTGTCCCTCCCACACACACCCAAAGAGGATCTCCAACCCAGTCATTTTATTTCATATTATTTATAAAAATATCAAGAATATCTGGTAATATCACTTACATTAGCCTGGCCTATGTTATCTTTAAATGCAGGGATGGAAAGTAGCTAAACTATTGTTTTTAATACTGTTTTTAAATACGATGTTGAGGTACTCAATGTACTTTACTTGAGTTTTATATTTTCTGTAACTAAATGAGGAAAGGAAGAATGGCTGTAGTTGTAGTTCCTTTGTAGAGAAAGAGTTTAAGATTTTCCATTACAAATAAAAACACAAAAACAAACAACAATTCAACAACTCGACCACCTGCACTCAACTGTAGTTAGATATAACATTAAATATTACAATAATATTCACTTTATCATATAATGAGTTCTTTCACTTCTGATAATGTAGGCCTACATTTTGTTGTAATACTTTACTTCTATGACAATAAATGACTAAACTTTTAGTAAAATATTGAATAAAGGTATTTTTGCTGTGTATAATGATTTTAAATAGTTTCATTGTATTCTTCTTCTTCTTCTTCTTCTTCTTCTATTATTATTATTATTATATTAATGACTATGCCATAAAAAGTTACAACACAGTTGCAAAATATACAAAAACCACATAAAACAACAACATTGAGTTGTATATAGGATATGTATAGCTATAAATCATCCCACTGAAACAGTATCCTATACATAAAATTTAATCAGCCAGGACATTGATGGTTTAAGTAAAGGATCTAAAAGTCTTTAAACAGATCAAATTTTTGTCAAGTTTCTCATTATGATGGAAAAGGGAAAAGCACGCTCAACTAATCAGGTCTGATCGATTGTGCGTATTGATCACTACGTACTGCGTCACTCAGTCACGCGCGTTTTTAAATCTCTGGCGGGCTAAAGCTAACCCACTTTTAACTGGATTAAACACGCCAAAGCATCACTGACACGGGGGTAAACATTAACCAGACCAGTGTGTTTAAGTTTCAAGAGAAGTTTTTACTTGGCAGATCAACATGGCGACGTCTACTTCAGTGTGGTCTAAAGGACAGATGTTGTACAGGTATTCTGTGAATCTGCACCAGGCGACCAGGTAATTAATTTATTTCTAAATGTACCATTAGCTAAGCATTTATTAAAATGTGTTATTTGGAAGCTTCGTTGAGTGATTTTGCCAAGAGTATATTTAATTCAATTCAATTCTATTCGGGAACTATCTGTAATTTAAAGTTAGTTAGCTTTTGAAATTTAACCCGCAAAATGAAACGTAATGTAACTTTTCTGTTTGCTTTACGTTAGCCAGCAAACTTTACGTTAAACCAAACTGCTGTAACCGCTTCCTAACCGTCGTCTTGTTTCCGTCAGCATTTTCTCAACTGTGTGACTTTATATATTTTATTTCTTGACTCAAGTGTAACACATTTTGCTAATGATATTGGCTAAATGCTAAGGTGCCTAAATGGGTATGTATATTACATTGTGTGGTACCTTTACGTCAGAAAACAAGGTCACTATTTACACAACAACAAGGCATTCTTCTAAATCTGCTTCAATCATTTGCAGGACCTTTGAACTTTGTCCTGTAAAACTGAACTAGATGCAACTACCCATTGTTAACAATTTATCTGTACCTCCACATTGTATGCATTTTCTCTGTGGCTGATTCAAAAATAAGTTCTTGGCTTCCTTTTAATAATATAAGGTTGTTATTTTTGGGAGGGTGCCATGGGAAATTCATTTCTAATTATAGTTCCCAATTAAAGCCATTGGCCCATGGGGTTATCAAAAGAGACGTCCCACTGACCTTGAAAGTTTGTGGATTTTAGAATAATAAAACAAAGGCTTAGAAAGTGTTTGTGAATTAACAGACGGCCTTGAAAGTCCTGCATATAAGTAAACATATGCACAATATAGCTCCCTAATCCATAAGTGGGCATATACCAACTGTTCTCCTTGGGCTGTTCTTGGTTCAAATCCCGTGAAAAATCCTGAAATTGAGGTTAATGTTGACATGGACATTGTTTCAAAATTATCAGTTATGATAATGAAAGTCAGTAAAATGGCCTTGGATTAGATGTCCAGCTGAATCGGGGATCTCTGTTTAACACTGTGATGGAACATATATATTTTTTGTAGCCAGTGTGGTAGGAAAATTTTAGTTGTCCATTTTTGCATTCAATTGTAAGTTTTTATGTCTTTTTGTGTATTTCTTTTTTCAAGTTTTGAACTCACATTTTGGAAAGATGACCTATATGTAACTTATTTAAATACCAGTAATATTTTTGGCACTGTTATGTGATTTTGAGTTATTGATAATTCACTTTTACTTTAATATAATGGTATTAGTATTATAGTTTTCTACAGCATGCTTTCCTTGAAATTGCTCTAGAAAGGACAGCCTGAACATATGACATATATAAGTCTCATTTCTCTGCTCTGAGACAGTTACTCATGTTCATGTACTGATTGGAGACTCTTAGATTGTAACAGTAGTTCATAAAGTAGATGATATTCCCCTTTTTATTCACTCCAGAGTGGGTGAAAAGAAGTTGTATGCCAAAGACACAAGCTACAGTGTTCAGCCCACTCACTCATACAGTATGCATGTTTTTAATATCAAAGGATATTAGCATGACTATCTTTTAGCCCATATGTCACGCACATCTTCATGTTCCTTTAAAGTTTTTCTTCTTTATAACGACAACTTCTCTGTACTATATTGTTGCTTTGAGTCTTTGTGAAACTTTCATCTTGTTTCTGTGTAGGAGGTTTTCAGAGAGCGGTGACAAAGGCTGGTTTCGTTCCCTATTTGTGCACACAGTCGATGCCAGGAAAGATGCCCACTCCAACCTGCTGTCAAAGAAAGAGACCAGCAACCTGTATAAAATTCAATGTAGGCATAAGACCTTTTACTTACTTGCAAATGGGGCTTTTTTTTCCTTCAAGCATGGGGTTACACAAGTGAATCTGATACATTTACATCATATTGTAATGAAATGGTTGCTGTTTCAAGTCTCAACTGTTTATCATCCATTTGTCTCTGCAGAAAACGGCAAAATAAATCATGCTAATTAAATTCAATCCACACTGGCCTCAGCAACCTCAGAAAATGAAGAGTAACAAGAAAAACAAGCACAGAATTGCGCCACAACAACTTATTTATTATACATGCATCTCATACAGGCAGCAACAAGTTATACTATAATAGTATGAGGTATCAAGTCTGTAAAGTTTTATAAGCAACATCCAAACAATTTGTCTGGTTTTCTTTTTAGTCTGTGGTGATAACTGTGTCTGTCTCTTGTAGAGAAATCTCTCATTCTCCCCAGGCTTTGATCTTTTTTGTGGCGTACATCACACCATGTAGGGATTTCAATTTGAACACTCTATCAGCCGTAGCCTATAACCTATTGAAAGCGAGTCATCTTTATATATAGAAGTCTTTGCTGAATTGGAGTGTGAAATTACTTTGTTGAAGAATTTGATTGTTGCTTGTATTTTAAAAAACACCCATTTCTGATAAGTCTGGCTCTCCTTCTTTATATTTTAGTTCACAACGTCAAACCAGAGTGCCTGGATGCTTACAACAGTCTAGAGTGAGTATGTTTACTTCTTTAAAAGGTTCCCTGCATTAGCTCCACCAATCAAGTTATGTTTTCAGTCCTTTGCTTGAATTATTGGGACCAACTAATTAGATTTTGATGATGATACAAGTTTAGGGTTTCCCCCATCAACAACACGGTCTTTATTCCATTGTAATGGTATTCTTGCAGAATCATAAGATTAATTTAGCATAAAAATAAGGTAATAGGAATAATGTTTTGGGGTATAATAGAAATTTGGATAATTGTAGACTTTATGCAGTGTGAGTGCCCTCTAGTTGGCCATCATGGTGAAGTGACAGTCTATCATAACTGCATGCACATTCAGAGTCTGTGCATGTGTGTCCATGTGAAGAGTTTGTATTTAATTATTTTATGCTGACAATAGGGCAGAGGTGCAACACAGGCTCCATCAGGACCAGGACTACCCATGTGAGGTGGTCGGGAGCTGGAACACCTGGTACGGAGAACAGGATCAAGCTGGTAAGCAGCAGTGTAACACTAAACAGAAAAGATGGCAACAAGTTTTACCTCTTATTGATCACAGTCTCTGTCATTTATGTATCTGTATTTATCTGTATCAAGGCCTCATGAACACTTAATATCAATGGCTGCAGTTCAGCTGTAAATTGTTTGGCAGAGCATCACAGAAAAATGTACAGACACACAAACACACAGTGATGACTCACTGCCACCACTTCTCCCTCTACATATGATAGTTTACAGTGGATAATGTACATTTTAGTGCATTCAGTGGCAGTGAAAAAGTGATCACACAGTGATGGAGGTACTGTATGTGCTGGTTGCGTGGGTGGCATCAGTCCTCACACAGTGTTGCAGTGACATCTGCTGTTCTGTTTCTGCAGTGCATCTATGGCGATACAAAGGAGGATACCCAGCCTTGACTGAATGTTTGAAGAAGCTGAACAATAACAAGGTTTGCTGCAAACCCCTTTTGTTACACAACAGGACATTCATTGCAGAAATGCTAAAAAAAAAAAAAAAGCTGATATTTAAAGTGCAACTTAAACTGATTTGAGTTTTATCTTGACTTTCAAAATTGTAGTAGAAAAGTAAGTAATAAAGTAAAAGTAAAGTATTAAATAGCATAGCTTTGTATATTCCTTTGTTTCATTGAAAACATCTTCATCTTTCCTCAGGAGTATTTAGAGTTTCGCAAAGAGAGAGCGAAAATGTTGATTTCAAGGCGGAACCAGCTTCTTCTGGAGTTTAGTTTTTGGAATGAGCCCCTGCCCAGACAAGGACCAAACCTTTATGAAATGCGCACCTATTACCTCAAGGTACCTGCCTATATTACACATATAAAATTTGCATGACTTTTTAGGTACTTAAACATTCCATATATTTTTGAGCTGCACAGTGCAGGTACTTTCAATTAGCTGTGTAACCTTTTTTTTTTTTTTTTTAAATCAATTTATCACATTATATAACATTTTGTTTTGCATGGCAGCTTCCACATCAATTGACTGTGGGAACCATACTGTCTACTGTATATTCAAGAGCCACTATTGTTAATATTGGTATGAAAGTGTAGGGCTCACCTTTGCTTTTACAACAGGTAACACTCCAAATGGATGCTGCAGCTTTGGCATTTTAACATTTTATACTTTTAGGTTACTTGTTTGATTTGAATGAATGATGCAATTATTGTCTTTACTGACACACAACACTTACAGATTATATCAGCTACTGACAGGACACATTTTCACTGCATCATTGCAGTGCACATTAACCAGGTTACCTATTGTGTTCTGTACAATCATACTCATATTTTACATCTTGTCCATTTTAATATTTGCCCTTCCAATACTGCCTGTGTTATTTACACTTATTCATAACTGTCTCATTGTATTGAGGAGTGATTTTTCACAAATGGAGAGTAACTAATGAGGTGGTTCATAACATAGCTATGATTAAAATCTATGTGCTCCAGTTTTCCTTGTAGATTGTCTTAAAATAGCCAAGATTTGCTGTTGTACAGGTTTGACTGTGTTGAATCACTTTTATTGATTTAGGGTCTGTGTGTACATGTAAAAGAACTGTGCTGTGGGAAGGTATGATGAGCTGTGTCCTATGATATATTAGTTTTAAACCATGTTAATAGTTTAAATCTTTGCATGTTTTTCAGCCAGGAACCATGATTGAATGGGGCAACCACTGGTAAGGCTTAACAAACTTTAGATATAAAGTTTCCTGAACATTTTCCAGTGTAAGTATCAAGTGTTAAAGGTGTCTGGGTTATTATTACACTCTGAAAATGACATGTCTCACAACAGGGCGAGGGCAATCACATACAGACAGGAGAACAGCGAAGCAGTGGGCGGGTTCTTCTCACAGATCGGTGACCTGTATGTCGTTCATCACTTGTGGGGTGAGTATACACACATGTATTGTGCATGTTGATTTTGAAATGAAGTAGGTTTACGTTAGGCCATAAAGCTGAATGTTCTAATCAAGCCTTTAGAATAATACAACTCGCTAACCTGTTTAAGTGCTGTAACTTTCAGTAACGGTTAAATAATACTCTGCTCACTGAGATGAACCTATTAGGTCATTTTTGCATCCACAGTGAAGCAGAGTGTTTTACTGGAGTGATATAAATTCATCCACATGTAATGTGATGTACTGCATGTGGTTTGATGTGTTTTTTTATTTACAGCTTATGAAAGCCTCCAGTCCCGGGAGGAGACGAGAAACTCTGCCTGGCTGAAGGAGGGATGGGACGTAAATGTGTATTATACAGGTAGGAGAGATACACTCTGCCCACACAAATACTCCCAAGTAAAAATCTACCACTAAGTCACTACTGTGTGCTGCATTAAATTACTTTTATGTACATTTGTGTATTATACGGTACAGTTTCTTCGTGTTGCATAATGTAATATATTTGTCACAAATCTGTTGCTGTTCAGATCAAGTTGGTGTTTGAAGTTGAGACAGCAGTTCTACTACAATTATCATGACATTTTTAGAGTTTAATATTCCCAACAAAACATTTAGAATATAAATAAATATATAAAGTATTTATAAAGTAAACTTTTGTTGGTTAAAATGGTTGCCACAAAATAATATAGCTAAGATTTCATTCTGAAATGTGAAGGCAAGCGTGTCAGAGTACAAGGCAATGACGGCAATGACTGCAATTCCTTGTGAAGTGTAATGAGCAACAGATGAGAGAACAGCACAGGTCAATGCATATCTGATTTGGAACAGAACGTGCAAGTGGATTAAACACAAATGTGTTCGGCAAGCGCAATTTTGTAGCGACAGGATATGACAGCAGCAGAGTGAGCAGGTAAGCATGGGGATATTTACATTATAAGTTTATTAAAAAGGCGCTTTCTCCTTATTAACAGCGCTGTAACTTTCACAGTGTTTTTTCTCTACTCATAATGATGCATTTATAGTTAGTGAAATGTTTTAGCAGCATTAAAAGTTTTTATCTGGGATTGTAAAACATGAAAACAGTAAACCTGATATAAATGGATACATTAATGAATTTAACTCTACAATAACTGTACTGACCTATGTCAAACAATGAAATAAACCAGATGTCCCGCTTCTCCTTGAGAGAGGGCTTCATAATCTTATCATAAAGGGATGAAGTTGTAACTTGTGAATTTTATAGTTTTATTTATTAGTATGTTTTTGTAAAGGGAATTTTCAGTATGTCTGTGTGATTTTAACAAAGAGTTTAATGTTGACTCTTTAACATGTTTCTCTCTGTCTGTCCTTAGTGCCTTTGATCAGAAGCATGGAGTCTAGGATAATGATCCCCACTAAGAGTTCACCATTACAATGAGAAGATGACTGAAACCAGACAACCAAATGACCAAAAACTCATTCATCTACTGCCAGAGCAACATGGAATGAATCTTGGTCTTACTGATTGTATTTCTTTTTGTCTGCTGGATGATCTGTGTAACTACCAAGTATGTGAACAAGAACATTTTCTGATTTTATATTTTCACAACATTGTCAGAAGTTTAGGTCAAATATGTGGAAAAAGGAATGACAAACCAATTAAATACACATTTTGACTGTTTATGGAATATGCGAGTGCAATGTAGGTTATGATTGTGTAGAGCTTTTTAGCATGAATTGTGAACGGATCCTGCATTTGTTTTTCACAATGAAAGAATAGTCTCTAGTATTTTATGCTTGCATTTCTATGATTGTATATGAATCGCATTGAATGAGATCACACACAGCTTCAAAACTGTGACTGTAAAATGCATGGTTGATCAAATAAAACTTGTTAGACTACCTTAATCAATAAAGTATCTGACCATTTCACTGATTACACTTTGGATTAAGATGTGTGAAGCCTACATAGAGCATATGTCTACCTCCTAGTATGAAGTGGCCAATCTTTTCAAAATAAAAGTTGACAAATATGTAGCCTTGTACATATTGTAAATGCAGCATCAGTTTTACACAGAAAAAAATGTTTGAATAGGCAAACTGGATCTTGGGAGTTGCAGTTGTAGTCCTCTACATTTTAAATGGCAAGAGCCTGGTATCTTCATTTCCACAAGAGACATTAAAGCTAATTAAAAAAAATTACTGAGAAGTGGTTGAATTGAAAAAACACCAGATAAAAATGGACATAAAAAAAACTAATAGGATGTTGATTTGACTAATTGAGTCCATCAATGAAAAGACTCTTGTCTTAATCAAAATATACAAATCAATAATTACTCCAACATATTTATTTTGTCTGTTTTGTACGGTGAGACTATATGGTGGGCATCTGATAATTACACCTAATAATCTGCTGCTATAACAGCCCCCACTCTTTCACTCTTCTGTGAAAGATTTCCAATAGATTTTGGAACCAGGCTGCAGGGATTTTCTCCCACTCAGCCACTAGAGCATTTGTGAGGTCGGCCACTAATGTCGGGTGATAAGGACTGGCTCACAGTCGGCTTTCAAATTCATCCTGAATGTATTTGAGGTCAGAGGCCAGTCAAGTTCTTCCACTCCTCAAACCATCTCTTTAAGGATCTTTGTTTGCACATTTGGTAGAGGGCTTTCACCAGTCTTGCCAGATTGCTTGAAGCATACATTTGTCTAAAACAGTGATACCCGTTCCCAGTTTGGGTTTGTAAGATGAAAACTAGGTAATAAGAAATAAGAAAATCAGCAGCCCTAGAAATGCAAGTGGGCAGGTCTTTGATACTTTTGACCACACACCTATCATAATGTTCCCTCACTTTTATTTCGGAGGACAAAATCGGAACTCAGATTTTTGCTTCTATCTTAGTAGACCACCCTCTGCATGTGCCAGACATTCATTTAGCATTTTAAACCTGTAGCTTTAAGAGGAGGGGGCGTGTCATGTCTGGGGCTGTCCCTTTTATTTGAATATACAGTAGTTCAGCGGGGCTGGAGTCGGATTGCCTCGGGTGTTTGTCGTCTTGTGAGACAAGCACAGCAGGACGAGGTGGTCCTATTCGTCGGTAATGCTCATCACCCGGGCCTATATTTAACATTTGAATGATATCGCTCAGCTAGAGAGGCGTTTTCTCCGCCGCATGCACACACACACAGGAGACTGCACTGCTCGCTACCGAGAATATGGACTTGCACATACTGGACCACAGGCTACGGGTCACCAGCATATCCAAGAATGGGCTGGTGAATTTCACACACCCCCTGATAAAACTGATCTTTCTCCGGAACAGGACACGGTAAGAAGACAGAGTTGAGTTTGTGTCATCGGTGTGAATCAGCCTCGTAATCCAATACGGATATATGAGATAACCCACAGCGCCTCTTCATTCATTGGGTGGACCGATCCATTATTTGCCTGTGCATGCCCTCCTCTGACTCCATGAATGATAAAGCTAGTGCAATGCATGTAACTTTAGGGAATTGTGGTAGTTTAGGACTGATATTTAACCACATGTCAGCCAAAATATGATATTCCTTTAGAGTGTGTTCTCACAGTGACGATAACTAGCTGATTTTTGCACAAAGACCTACAGCATTCGCATATGTTAATATGCATGTATTTTGTAATTCCGTAAAATGCATGCATGACTGCCTTTTAATGCATGCTGCTTCTACTCAGCATTGACCAAACGTCTTAAAAAGATGCAGTTCCCCTCCACTATATTTTGGTGGGGATCCTGTTTCTCCAGCACAGACTTGACCCATGACCTGCTCCACCCAAAACCAGCATCCAGTTTGCAAGTTGTCCGGATCTCATGTTGGCATCAGTGCCCTTTTTCAGTTAATCCCTGGATATCCTCTCATTGTTATGTAATTGTTTATTGCTCTGCCTGCCCCACATTTGCATGGCTAGAAGAAGAGCTCAACATCTGTCTTCCAAGTTGCCTGTGATATAGGCCGGGGCAGTGCCTCAACTACCACTCTCGTGTCAAGTCACAAAGAAGGTGTAAGCGAATGTCAGGGAAGATTTTACCTCCTCTCTTCGCATTTGTGCTGTGCGATGTCTGAGGTCTAGTTATCATACTGTCCTCAAGGATTTGCTTATCATAAGCATCCTGTGTATACAGAACAGCCCTCTAATAATCAGTTATCTATGTAACAGGACTAGCCTATGCCTGCATGATGGAATCATGATCCTGGTAAACACTTCTTGAAAATATGTTGTCACCTGAGCAATCATATTTAAATCACATATATTTGTCTGTCAAACGCTTCACTACTTTTCATGCCTAGCCGCCTCCATCAGCACTTATTTGCGTCAGAGTATTGGGCAACACAATAGGCCTTGACATGTCCGTATTAGTCACACTGTGTCATGATGACTACCAACACCTTATAAACTTATATATTAAGTAAATAACTATTCACTGAGAGTAATACACATGCGTACTGTAATGCATCAGTATTTCTACGGCCCAACAAGTTAATAATGAGTTCTACTAACGATCAAGAACTGTGTCCAGATTGTGTCAGTATTTTATTTCAAAAGTGTGAGCCTACATTTTCATTTGGACTGGCTCTGGGACACATTCAATGTCTGGAAATAAAACAAAGTAGGCCGAGCCCAGAATGAAGCAGAAAAAGCATGCAGGCTGCACTTCCTTGGATTAGCTGGCTTCTCTGTTTTACAGTTTGTTGTTGTGAATGCTTTTGAGTTATGTCATCATGCTGTGGCGTGCATGTGTCTTGCTTCGTTTTTCCTGTTCTTTTTGTGAGCTGGGAGTTTTTTTGTGTGTCTTTGGTCAAACTGTAGGCAATGCAGAATGGGGAGCGGTGGAGAAGATTGAGTTCATTGCAACTCAAAACAATCGTGGAGCAAAAACAAGCCTGATTGCCTCCGGTTGGTTTTTGCCACCTCCCTCTTTCAGGCCCCTGCCATTCATTAGAGAACAACTCCCCATGCAAAGTGATTTGAAAGCAGTCCTGAGCAGAGTTCTAAGGAAGTAATCACTTCTAGGAGCCAGGGTTGTCCTAAATTGTAGATAGGTAGATTTTCCTCCAACATCATCAAACACAGCTGAATGTTAAAAGATGAAAGTAGTCAGAAGATCATCTTTGCCTTGCCTAGGAATAAGGACCCTTATTTGATGAGCCACAGCATGCCTACTGCCAGCTACACTCTTAATCTGTGAAAGTCAGTTGTGTTTGTCGTTGTTGAGACGACATGTCATCAGCAGTGTAACCATATGAGAAAACTCAAACGCTTTAAAAAGTGAGGACATTTTTTTTTTTTTTTTTTTTTTTTTAAGTTTAGTATTAAGTTTAGATCATGCATAAGGCTAGGCTAGCCGCATGCATGCATAACGCTGTGTAGTTGAAGGGGTTATATGCTAGATATTAAATGAGGGAATTTGTCTTTGTATCTTCATGCACTCTTGCAAAAAGTGTATGGATTACTATCTCAGCCATGTATTATTAGATTCTGCTAAATACCCAATGTGAATGAATCCTCCCACCAAAGGAGAAAAAACGGACTATGGACTTGCGAGCAGTTTGTAGTCTTGTATTGTCTTTAGTTGTTGTTTGGAGTCTATGGGTGTGGTAATAATAAAATCTCAGTATCGGCCCAATTTATGAGTATTGCTGTATTGTGGATTAAGCCCTGCAGGCTCCACACAGTCCTCCTTTCTTCTCTTTGGCGGCTCACTAACGAGAGCATGGGTTGGAACAATGCCTGAGCTGAGCCAGAAACCCAGTGGGGAGTTTTCCACTTGTCTGCTTCAGTGATCTGTCAAGGTTGGGGCTCTCGCTCCCCCTTATATACACAAGACCACCCCCTCCCATTTCCCCATTTCTCCCCCACTTGTAATAACAAGCAAGGATTTAAAAAAAAAAAAAAAAACCTTCCCCATTGTTCTAAAAAAAAAAAAAAAAGTAGAGCCCATGAGAACGCTAGTGATCAGTTCGTAGGAAGCTGTGAAGGTCCCCTTGACGTTGGGCCTGAGATAGCTCAAGGCTCACCCCACACTTGAACAACATCAGTTTGCTCCGCTCTTATCATGTTTCCTCAGCTGGAGCATCAGTTGCAGACGCCCCACCACCGCCAACCCTCACTCCCTCACCACCGCTACCACTCGTTGTTTTGTGCTGCCGGATCAAAGTCCAGACTCTTGTGTGCTTGGTTTTCATCTTCCCCACTTGGCCTCTCCCTGGCTACCTGTTGCTTTCCTTTGGTTATTTTCTGTCTCTTCCTCTTCATGTTCCTTCATGCTTCAATAGAGGGAGCTTGTTTTTCGAACTCATTACCACCCGTGATCGCACATAGGCTATGTGTCATTGTAACGGAGTGCTGTACAAATGTGTTCAATTAGTCAGGTCATCATTGAGTCGATCCAAAAGGTCTGTCCAAGATGATTAGATATACCCAACAGCCTAAGGACACAATAGTCCAAAAAAGTTACAAGTGATCTAAATCAAAGAAAGGCAACAATTTCTCACATTAGAAAGATGAAACTTGCAAATGTTCAGGGATTCTACTTGATGAATAACATAGTAGTCAATTATTAAATATGACAATATGATGTACATACTGAGCTTAACCCGACCCTTAGATACTGTGTTTCCTTTAGGCTGTATTTGTCTTCTACTTGTCTGGTTTTCTGTGTGTTTATGTGGAGACAAGGGTAGATGGAAGGGCGAGGGCGAAAGCTCTGCTGTGGGGAGATATCAGATGAGTTCCTGGACCTACATTTTTGTCATATCTCTACATGCATTTATTCTACTAGATGATGCATAACAAAATTATACTTCTAGTGAGCAGATTCAGTTTTTGGATGGAAATAGGAAGATTTTTCATTTTGCAACAAGAGATATCAAGTTTTCTCTCCCTCTTGATTTCATAAGAAGCCCATGGGTTGTACTGATTGTAGGTAAATGCAATCTTCTATAGACTGTGAGAATGACAAGAGGATTTAATAGTCAGTATAAAAGCAAAATTAATTTTCCAGTGTGCTTGTCAGTATTCTGTAACAAAGCGTATCTGTGTTGTCTGTACTTCACAAACAGGAAATCAAACAAGCACAGTTGTCTTGCAGATGGATTTCCCTCAGGTTGTTTGACAGCACACGACCATTATGTTGCTGAGGTTTGGCAGCCTTGCAGGTGTAATATAAGGGCCTTCAAAAAAAAACAGGCCATGTGATAAAGCTCTGCACTTGATCATTTCCACTTACAGGATAGATGCTTGGCACACACTACCTGCAGGAAACTGCAAGCTGGGGAAGGTGAAGGGTCAACAGGAAATGAGGGGGGTATTATAACACAATGGGCTGGCTGAGCTTGCTAGCACAGCTGGTAGTTAGTATTACAGTGTTCCCTCTCTTTGTCTCTCTGTGGCGTGATTGTCCCATCTCATGCGAGGGATTAGTTTTTGCTGAGTCAGGAGTTTAGCGGTCTCAACCAGGCTTCTACTGTAATAGCCCCAGCTGACTGATAAGCAGAGGAAGAGGAAAGTGGATCTACAATGAGACGTTTTAAGAAAACAGGAACATGTAGCACTTCCTTTTTAGGGATTCAGTGACTCAAAAATTGCTCATAGCATCTTTCTAGCAAAAGCTAGCTAAAAACCTTACTAAGAATTATTTAAGGGCAAAGGCTTTCGCTTGGTTGCTTCAAGCCGTAACGCAGGAGGTATTTTGTATTTTTTCTATCTACTTGTATTAGTGGACATCCTCTCAGAAAGCTTGAATTTTGTCTTTTACTGTCTCACTTTGATGTATGTGCAAAGAAAAGTCACACATCTGTTTTTGAAGCTGCATTCGGCTTGATATGTATGTAATACTGACCTAACTGCCCAAATTACAAAGTTAGCATGAAATAGGAAAGAGCATAATGATACCCTTACAATTTGTCTGGTTTGCCTTACTAGAGTTGCAAAGTGGGATGAGTCATTGGTTACAGAAGTAATTTTGAAAGTTCTCTTTAACTGATATCCTGCGTGTTCCTCACCGTAGGAATGTTAAATCCTAATTATAACCTGTTGATATCGAACAGCTTTAAATACTGCAATACCCGTGATGAGCCCCAGCCACCATTGCTATGAAGAAGAAGCTTGTCAGAGATTCAAATCGGAGCTTGATTCCAATTGGCACCATAGTTGCAGAATTAATTCGAAATTCCGCCTGATAGGACCCAACAGGATCCAATGATTTTGGCTGAGTTTGGAAAAAAAAATGTAGAAATTATGTTCGAGTTCGGTCACATTGGCCTTTTGATGGCCATTTACTGGGTGCCCACACGTGTAATCAGGATAAACAGGCAAGCTGTGACCATGGTAACAACTGCACGACAGGGTAATGAAAACTCAGTATTTCAGCTTATACTAAATGCATCGGGCTCGGTTTGGGTTCAGACATAAAAAACAGAATGCCTGTGGATTTGGGTCAGGCAAGGTTACTCCTCTCTTGGCCTCGGGTCGGATTCAGACAAAAATATGTGGCTCTAAAAAATCTAAAATGCTTAAGTCTGGACTGGCCAGTGAAGACTGTACACAGGTTTGTCTTGTCCAAGTCACCATTAATGTCCAAGTTGAACAATAGGCTGCAGGGCCAGTCCGTCTCTTAAATTACACAGTAATCAGTTCTCTCTGCCTACAGCTCACCAAACAGTTTCTATCCCAGTCCTTGTTTTTTTCTGTTACAACACAGATATTTTATTGGATGTAGAACAAGAGAAATTTGTCCAATATAGAAACTTGATTTTAAGTATATTAGCCTCAAAAACTGAAGTAGTCCAAGAAAATGTGTTTCACTGCCCAGTTCTTTCCTCAACCAACTTTTTTGCTTTTTTTCCCCTTACACCCCTGCTACCCTTTCTTCAACATTTCACAAAGACAACATTCAAAAGAACTGAACAGTGTGGCCAGACCAAGCAACACCCTTTGAAAGCAAATGCTTTTGGCCCCAAGCCTGATGAAGACACAGATACCAAACTTTGAGAGAAAAAGTAAAGTAAATTGTGTCATGGAATTTAAAGGATCTGTTTTGTAGAGAGCAGTTCTAAGATCACAAATAACATCAACTTTGTACCATCTAATCTTTTTTTTTTCCTTTTCTTTGTAAATTTTTAACCCCAGTGGACTGTATCAGTCGGCAAAACTGCACTGTCTTTTCAAATATTAAACCCAAGTGGCTCCTTTTTTAGAACAAGGTATAAAAAAAAAAAAAAAAAGCTTGCAAAAGAAATTGCAAATGGAGCATTGGTGGCTTCTTAAAGCTTGCATAATGCAGACCTCAGTGGTTCTGGAGCAGAGAAGTTTCAGCAAGTTATGAACTTGATTTTCATGGCAGATGCAGATATATACAATCCCATGAATTCTGAACTTGCATATCATCACATCTAGAATAGTAATGTTCAGTCTTTCTTTAAATGCAGCAGTTGGTAACTTCAGTAGTGCCCAGGTTTGATGTGTTACCCATGTGTTACCCACCATTTGCTGTAGACAAAGCAGCAATGCTGACATAATGCTGAGCTAGGACCTGCACTAACTGAGTTACAGCCAGTCCTGAACCCTGTGGACATTTTGGAGTAGCCCTTTTACTTGATTCTTGCTAACTGTTAATATGAAGATCTGAACTTTTGTTTTTGTTTTTTTCTCACCTGCCCTCATGTTTTCTCAACTTCCAACTGTAGGCCTTTCTTCATCTGTACTTCCTCTCCTGTTTCAGATGCAAGTTTTTCAGTCTGACAGAGACACCGGAGAACTACACAGTTGTCCTTGATGAGGAAGGATTCAAAGGTAAAACACATCTTTTGTCCTTCCACACTCCGACCACTCTAGTCCCATTTGTACACTAAATATTGATACTACAAAGTATACAACATACACTAATCTATATAGTCTAGTGTTAGGCAGTTAGAATACAAGCAATATATGAACTATAATATTTTGTACTAACAGAAAATGATGTGATGATGTACGAAGGATATGCACATTACCAGACAGGGAAGATCTAGAAAAGACGCTATGGATTTACAGCATGGGAACTACAGGATCCAGCAATTTTATAGGGACTAAAAGTATATTGAAACTGTATTGAAGTACAATACTAAATAGTTGGAGTGTTGTTTTAACAAACAGAAGACAGAATATTTTTTTTTTGTTTTCTGGAATTTTCGTGGAGATGAGAAGAAAGGGAACTTGGCTGATGGCGCTCTACCATTGCGCACAGTTTGTTCTAGCATTTATCAGTTTGTTGTGAGTTCCTCCTCCAGGGCCCAACAACACAACTTTGTCTGTATGAAAATGCTACATACTCAAAACAGGGTCAGAACTAGTATGTCGTTTTGAATTGGGCCACAACATTCTGTTGTTTTACCACTACAATGTTATTTCCTTCCTTCCTTGTTCCCCTCACAGACCTCATGCGGTAGGATGGGTGTAGACAACCATAAAACATAGGGGAAAAAAAGCTGTACAAGAAAAATACGTCTTGTGAGCTTAAATGAAGTAGCTGTTTTCTGAAATACAGAATGTAGATCTGCTTTACTTCCAGCTTCCTGTATTGAATATTTTCACTGGTGGGAAACTGTGAAATTTCTCTCTAATAAAGCAAATGGGAGTTTTGTTAGACCTGTTACCCCTCTCATCCCTGTGGTATAAAGCATCAAACACAGAGAGGGTTGGAGGATAATAAGAGTGCAGTTTGAAGCTGCTACTATTTGCTGCTTCTGACATACAAAGGTCAAGTGCAGCATTATGGAAAAACTGTTTCCAAGCAGCACTTATGGATTAAAAACCCTGATTAAACAACTTGTAGGGACTTCAGTGCATATTTACAGACACACAAGTAAAAACACCAGTAGATATTATGCAAGTCGACACACAAAAACACTTTTTGAGTGTCCCGGGGGGTGGACTTCATCTGTGATCAATATTTTTTAAGCAATGACTCAATGATAAATATTTAGAACTTCTCAAAATTCGAGCAATTGTTTCCATTTTTCCTTTAATTACTTTTGAATTTATTGTTTTCATGTTTTTTGACAGAGTAATTTTCTGAATGTTTAAGTCATTACTTTGTTTTTAAAATATTTTTTATACACTTGTTAGACAATTATTGTACCTATCAGTGCTTTACCTCCAGACTATACTGTTGGGACAGAGTGAACAATATAACTTTCATGTTCTTGTCCCATCCACTCATCATCCAGCCATTTTTGTCTTGTCCTTTTTACACAGATGTAGTTTTTAAAGGCATATATCGCCTGTGGGTGCTCTGTTTCTCTCTCTGTCCCCTTCACTCTCCTTCTAACTGAGTGCCTATTTTAAGAGGTGAAAGCTGGTGTAGTGAAGCCACAAGGGGCTGTCTGTGATAAAATATGCCAACCAGAACAGTGGCCCTTTGAAGGGGAGTAAATAAAAAAAAAAAAGAAGAAAGTAGGGTATTCACTGCAGGAGGTAGACACAATTTGGTAATGTTTTTAGTTAGCTGAATGGTAATGAAACTCTAGCCAAAACACTTTTTGCCTCATCTGAAGGTTTCTGAAACTTAAATGAAGATGCATCTCAAACATGCAAGGAAAGTATATCCTCCTACTCAGTATTCAGAAGTTTGCTCTGTATTATTCTTATAAACGTTTTTAAGTGATGAAAGGTTCGGGTGTACATCTCTTTAAGTCATCACCCCAGTATTTCTTTCTTACAACTTGGTGTTTACTTCCTGGATAGACACCTGTTTCCCAGGTAGCTGCCTCAACGTTGCTTTTATTATAGCACGAAGAGTGAAATATCCTGCTGTTCCAGTTTGGCTCAGAGCCTCAGGATGTCACAGCCACATCTGAATGATAACCCCATTTGAACTTTGACCCTTCCAAACCACCTACTCGGAGCCGCACATCTGAACACATTAATGCACCGGTATCAGGTCACACTTTACGATGAAACATCTTGCGGTGGTGTAGGTGCTGTTGGCCTCTCCTGAGCATAATATTTACTTGTATAGCTAAGCGGTATAAATAGCAGGGGTGTTTTAGGTCTCCTTGGTGAAGGAAGCGAGAGGAGGTGGTGGTGGGGGTATATGTTGTACTGAGCAGCAAACAACAGGAAGCTCTCTCACAGTTTACACCTTTCACGAATATAAAGATACCTCACCAGTAATGTAAAGTTGTGATGAGGTGCATAGGGCTTTTATTCTGAAGCTACTAAATCACAGCTGTAATTAATTGCTTGTAGAAATGCTGGTTGTGTGACACCACACCATGGATTATATGTACATCTGTCACATCCCTGGTAGTTCTGTTTTAGCTTGTCACTGCTCTTCTGCATCACTGGTCCAGTATGGCTGTGTTTAGCATCTGCTGTCATGCTTCTTTTTTTTTTTTTGACATATGAATGAATCATTTTACAGTATTTCTATTTTGATTTTAACATAGATGAAACTGTTTAAGTTATGGCATGGATGATTTGTCTTGTTTGGCATTGTATACTCGCATATCATTTAAAGCTGATACTAGCAGTGTCTGCAATGGTGATTCCAAGTATGCTGCCATCCTCCTGTGTTTACCAGTTTTGAAAAGCACTCAACAAACTTGGGAAGTTTTGCACCTGCAAAACAAGCTCCTCCTCATGGGAATATCTATTTGTTTGTTTATTTATTAATGTGGCAGTTGCACCATTATTTCACACAATTGGTTTCTTTTTTCTTCTTTTTAAGTATATTAAACCAATTTCTCTTGTGGTAACATAATGGAGATGGAATAAATTCCTTCAGTAAGCACAGATTTGGTGACTTGAAGGTCAAACGACATCTAGGCCTCTGAATTAAAGGGATACTTAAGCGTTTCAGTGTTTGACTTACATAAAGACGTGGGACTGGCAAGAGACAGATTAAAAAAACAGATTGTCAGAATTGGTGGAGGCTTGGCCCGGCTTATATAGATAGATATCATGAGTTTTTTTTTTTTTTTTTAAGTTCCTACCATGAGTCAGAGTCCAAAAACACTGTATCCTGCATTTCCCATAATGCAATCCAATAGCATATTTCATCAGATCTTGTCTGCCAGTTAAATTTCCTTATCTTTCAAACTCCCTGCCAGCAGTTTATAATGCACATGTTCTGTGTAAGCCAAACATAAAAACATTTTCTCAGACTTCAGAAATCCTGTCCAGAGCCACAAAAGACATTATGCAGCTGTTTTTGCAGGTTGACTCTCTCTATTGCAAGTAAACTGACCCCTGTGTGTAAAAGATGGGATGGAGTCCCCCTTAAAACAGTATATAAATGACCTGCTGCACATTAAGATGTAGTTATTGAAACGTTGTTGAAACAGTAACCTAGGTGTCTAAAAACACTTATTTTTCAGTAATTTAAAAAAAAAAATGTCTTATCTTCTTTGATCTGCAAATGACCAAATCACTGCTAACTGTTCACAATGATACATTAGACTTAATGCATGCATACTCTACATAAGCCCACAGACTCACTGACCAACTTTTCCCTTCTCTCTCCCTTCCCACTCAGAGCTCCAGCCCTCAGAGCACCTCCAGGTAGAAAGCTCCATCTGGCTGCCGCTCAATGTGGTCTCCAACGGCAACGCCTCCAGCAGCTCACAGGCTGTTGGTGTGACCAAGATCGCCAAGTCGGTCATAGCCCCTCTAGCCCAGCAGCACGTCTCCGTCTTCATGCTCTCCACTTATCAGACCGACTTTATCCTGGTGAGACACGGCTGATTTCACTTTTTACTTTTTTAGCTTTCTCTCCGCTCCATCCCACTCCACTCTAATCAGTGCTCAAAGGATTCTTGTTCAAATGAAAGAGGCACTCTAAAGCTTCACTGTTGTATAATTTAGAGAGCAATTTTACAAACTCACTGAATTTATAAAAACTCCTGCACTCTTATCTTGAAAAGAAGCCCTTCACCTGCTGAGCCCTGCCAGACAAAAGTAGCCACGCTGTCTGCATTTTGTCCACTCACCGGTTTTGCAGTTAAGGAATTAATTCCAGATGGAGCTGAGGGCACTAAAAATTTGGTTGATGTATTACACGTGAAAGTGTTAAGTGGGCAAAAATAGATAACACAGAGACAGACGTTTGTGTCAGCAAGTAAATTAATGGTAGACTTGCTGGTTGGGCTCAAGTATTCGCTTAAAGCGAGACAGCATTGGACCCTGAAGCGAAATGATGTATGTATGTGTGCCACACACTAACCTTGTGTGGCTGGTTTATCAAGGTGTTTATACATATATCACAGTTCTCTAAAACGTCTTCCCATCTATATTTATGTTTCACGTCTATATTGCGTAGGTGAAAGAGAAAGACCTGTCTGTAGTCATCAGCACTCTGGAGGAGGAGTTCAACATCTACAAGGAGGTGGGAGGAGAGTCTGTCCCTGTGCATTGCCAGGATGTTTCCAGCGGCCTCCAGAAGAACGGCAAAGAAGGTAGAGGTCACAGTCCTGTTTAATATGAGTTCACCTACTGTTCAGGCTCGGCTCAACAGACGGAGTTGAGCTCCTCTAGCACCACCTTCAGGTAATTTGTAAGTGTAAGGAGGGTTGCCCATCACATAGGAAGTGACAGGTCATTGCTTTTTCTCTGGGATTGAAGGATTAATTCCAGTAGAAGTGTGGTAATATTACTTACACAGAAAAACCTTTACTTAGTCGGAGTAACATTCCTGTAGCTCTAAAAAAGCTCAAATTTGAAGGTAAGGCAGTCACATTAACAGTTACAGCACATACAAGGTCATGTTCAGTCTGACTATACAGCATTGCATTATTTAATGCACAAGTGATGCTGCCTTCTGAAGAAACATTTCACATTTACTTATCATTATTCCTACATCGGAAGTGTAAGTTGTAAGAGCCACTTCTCTTGTATCAGGTAACTGTGTTTTAAATTCAGAAAATGTGATTAGATATTCACAGCACAAACTAATTAAATTAACTAATTAATTAACATTAAAGGACATCAGCCAAGTCCCCTTTTCAATTTTAATTCCTGCCAACTGCACACAGAATTAAAACCCATCCAAATACATTAACTGCAAATCAGCTCTGCAGCTTGAATGTTTTCATACTGTAAAATAAGCAGCAGGACTCTGCAGCTTACTCTATTTAATCAAGCTATGGACATAAGCAGTGATTCAACTTCAAAATGAGCAATACACTTCATTGATCCAGTCTGTGTGAGTACTGAGAACACTGCTTTTCCTCATAGTTATTATTTTGCAACTCAGCAGTGCTGCCACAGTGTTAGTAGTAGTAGTAGTAGTAGTAGTAGTAGTAGTAGTAGTAGTAGTAGTAGTAGTAGTAGTAGTAGTATGTAAAGAAAAACTGCAAAAAACACTTCCTCATAGGGTTATTTGAAACCTGCATTTGAGCAGTCTACCTACTACAAATGGTGAGAAAGCGCTAATTAGGCAACCAGAACATATCCATATCAATATGCATACGTCCTGCCAGTGAATTGCTCTCGAATTCAGAGATGCTCTGGAGAAGTGGATCTATCATAAAGCATCCTTAAAGAGATGCTGTGGAGTTTTTTTTTTTTGTAAACACACAAATCTTAAGTTTACATCCAGTGTTAGTCTCTGAAACACATTATGAATATCCTTGAGGTTTGGCAAATGTTTCCAGTGCATCCCCTTCCTCATAAAACATTTGACTTATTTCATTTAAATCCAACCCTGTTTACTTCCATGTTTAGTGGCTTGCAGTCTTCTTCCCTGTCTTTGCTGGTACATTGCAGCATATCTTGGTGCGTCACTGCCTCCTGTTGATCAGTGGAATACACAAATAAACAGAGTGCTCAACAAACCTGCAGCACACTCATCATTCACTGCTCCACAGCACTACTAGGTCTAAAACTCTGCACCTTTAAACCTGGCTTATCAACCCTGTGTAGCATAGTAAAGAGATAAGTGAAATCTGTATTTATAGCAAGAGGAACCTGTTGTTCAAGGACACCTGTGGTGCTTAACAAAGCCATGTGTGACTGAAACAAACATTACAGTTTATGGTATTATAGAACAAAACAATTCCAGCAGGCTGGGCCCGCACTAGTTTTCAGTCATAAAGGAACCTTTGAACTACAATGAATCACAGTATCCATTACAGGAAGCTTTTTTCATCACCATGAAGTACAGAACACGCTGTTCGATGTGAGCAGAACGTGGCCGCCCCTTCACAACCTTTCATATGTGTTTGCATCTCTGAGATGTCAACTTAAGGTCATAATCTAAGGAAACACCTTTTAACTTGACACATATGTCAAACTAGTTTAGAAACCTTTCACCCAACAGTTTTGCTTATTGTTTTCAGAATGCAAAATGACACAGTTACTTCAGAAGTTCAGAATGACGTTGAGAAAACATAATAGAGAGGGAGTCAGGTTATTGATGACAGTTTGGTGAATCACCAACTGAAGCTCAGTTTAAAGACCAAGATGAATTAAATTATGAAACATGGATATCGATTGTCGATGTAGTTTAAAGGTGTTGAAGAGGTGTCAGCATCTACAAGAAGTAGAACTTCATTTCTAAGCTGTGATTGGGTTTGTAACCAAATTCAACCTTTAAATGTGCTTTACTAAATTTTTAGTGAGTTAAAATGCCAGGAGATCCACTGAGATCCACTATTTAAAACATGTAAGAGTGGAGTTACTTCAAAAACAGACAAAGTTGGTGTTCCAGGTTCAGACTTTTAGTTTTACTTTAAAACCAACAGTAAACTCTTATATGGATTAGAATACAGTACAGGCATTTTATCATTATTATTATTGCACTTTATCGTTATCATTTTTATTATTATTTTGGACAGAAATGCATAAAATGTCAGAGAATATGGGGCTCTCCACCTAAGAAGTTAAAGCAAATTTTTAGAAATATCTTAAAAATTATTTAACTCAATAGAAAAAGAAGAAGAGGAAAGCAGAAACATTTAGTTTGAAAGCATCTGTACATTACTACCACTGTTTATTATTTTACATGAAAAGCTGTTCTTATAATTCAGCACTGCTCTTGTTCTTCCAGCCATTCACCCTACAGTTCACCCAGTGCTGATCCCCCAGAACCAGTTCTGTGTCATGTCTCTGGACCCGGACACGCTGCCATCCATCGCCACCACACTCATCGACGTGCTCTTCTATTCCAGCAGGTGACATGTTGCTCACTCACACCGCTGCAGTACCTGTCTAAAACACAAGGTGGCAGCACATGACGCTAAGTAGACATCAGCTCAGTGACTTGATATTGTACATTAATCATGACAGATAACCTCAGAAGTAATTACGTTACATCAGTTTAATCTGCTGTGACATGATTTTTTAGAACTTGGATATGAGACAGCTCATTTGTCAAACCCAGATGTTGTTAACATAGTGGAGCATTGTCCACGCAAAATAAAATGCAAAGATTTAGTTTTTCTACTTTTGCAATCATGTTTATTTAATTTTTTTTTAATGCTGAGAGTTTGAATTTAGAAGCTCTGTAAGGTAGAAAATACTATAAGAGGTTCACACAGATTACAATAAATATCAAATTTTAAAATTGCTTACATGGGACTCTGAGATTTTGGCCATACATCTTTAATACATGCAGATTATAATATATATTAAATATATAATCCCAAATATTGCAAATTTTGCCTTTTTTGGCCTGGGCTTGAGAATTATTCTAATATGTGAATGACCTCACATGTTATTGTAATAAAAATGGCTTTAGTCTTTATTAAATGAATGCTGCTGACCAGCTGAATGTGCTTCCTCCTCTGCAGTCCTAAAGAGGACACACAGTCATCTCCCAACCAGGACTTGGACTGCATCAAGTTCTTCTCCTTCTCCCTCATCGACGGCTACATCTCCCTGGTGATGGACACTGAGGCTCAGAGACAGTGAGGACTCTTAATTTGACAGTGGACACAGTGGAGCAAATGAACAACATCCAACAATTTTAATGCCTGACCTTTCCAGTCAAATGTGCACAGTACAGTCAGAAAAATATCAGACTGTGAATAACAATAAGACAGTGATCAACAAGGCTAGCCATTAGAAGACATTATATAAACACTAAATTGGTCAAGTGTACAATTGCTGAAGTGAAAGGGACTAGAAAGCTGAACATTGTGTTTTTCTCCACTGAAATACCTCAGTTATTTAACGACAGCTTACTTCATTGTTGCTTCTTCTTGTTGGGCTACTGCTTTGCAGTTGTTGCTGTAATTGCAAGCTTTATCTTGAGATTGCTAGAGGAGGGTATTCACCTCTCTCACCTGAAGTAGTCTTGCGAGTGTTTGTACTTGGTTGCTTTGTAGACATCAGTGCTTGATCTTTGTCCTCTAGGTTTCCTGCTGACCTTCTGTTCACCAGCTCCTCTGGGGAGCTGTGGAGAATGGTGCGTATAGGGGGACAACCACTGGGCTTCGGTAAGGCCTCTTCCTTTTAAATACCTCTCTAGTTACTTGCTCTACATACAGTTTAGAGTTTCTGGAGCTGCATCTGTTCTAGATAAATCAGGTGGTTTTGGTGCCGGGCTGGTGCTACAAATCTGATCAGAAATCTGTCAGGTTATACAAACAGTATTCTAACTCACTGATAATTTTCTATTGACATTGAGAGACCATGGAATGGACTAACATCTTTAAAACCTTCTGTCAAAATAAGGTTGAAACACTTTAAAATGTGACTGACACGATCTGTGAAATTATATACATTTTTCAATGTGTCTGTGTTTCTGAAAAAAAAGACAGATATAATTGTATGTGTTGTCTATTTATTTGTCATTGTTTTTTAGCCTTAATGTTAATGCACATGTGATACGTTAGGTAATTGTTCAGTGTGATTTTTTTTTTTTTTAATATTACTGCGATTTATTTATTGTATAATTAATTTTTTATTTATTTTATTGGCCAAAATATGTGAATGGGAATTGTTGACTGAAGTAAAACTATCTAGAATGAGATTTATGTTATCATGTGGTTAAATTTCTGTGTTGTTAAAGATTGTGATGTGATGTGTGAAGATGTGATTGTGATACTAATTTCAATATATTTCTTCTCTACTTCCTCTATGTTTCTAGATGAATGTGGGATAGTTGCCCAGATATCTCAGCCTCTCGCTGACAGCGACATCTCTGCCTATTACATAAGCACCTTCAGTTTTGACCATGCACTGGTGAGTCCGACATCTTCACGTCATTAGTTAGGCCACCACCACTGTTTAATACATCAGTGACTCAAAAGTGTATTACACTACGCTCAGATATTTAAAGACTTAAGGTTGGGCTCTGTTTGCTAATGTGGGAGATGAGATAAAGACCCGGTATGTGTCACTATATACAGAATTCTTGGTTTACTCATTTTGAGGGTGTTTTACTGTTGTGAGCTTGTTACCAGCTGAAACAGAAGAGCCTGTATTGTTTTCACCTTGTCAAGTCAAGTCAAGTCAATTTTTATTCGTATAGCGCCAATTCACAATAGAAGTTATTTTAAGGCACTTTCCAAATAGAGCAGGTTTAGACCTTCTCTTTGTAATATTATTCATAGAGACCCAACGATTTCCGCTAAGAGCAAGCGCTAGGCGACAGTGGCAAGGAAAAAGTGAGTCTGTGTGTGCGTGTGTGTGTGTCATCATGGCAAAATGTGGTCCCGTAGACCTCTACTGTGGCAAGAACTACCACAGAGGCAATTTCGATCACTTTGGCAGGTGGTTATATGTCTGTCTGTGTGTCTGTGTGTCTGTCTGTGGACAGATTGTTTCACTGTGATAGCGTCACAGCCTGCAACATACAGTCACAGAACTTTGTGGGTGTGTAGTTGAGATCAAAATCAAGGCCGAATTTGAAGATGAGTGTGAATCATGTAAAATGGTCTCTAATCTATAATTTTGAAAAAAAAAAAAAAAATGTTGTATGTTCCTGGTAAGTTTTTAAAATGAATCAGACATACCTGAAGTATATTTAAAATCCTGTAATGCAGATCTGCATTTGTTCAAAAGCGATTATAAAATGATCGCACCCTGATATTGTGAATTTTGAAAGTCATAAACTACATCTTCAATTTGATGTTCCAGTAACATTATTTCAAAAGTTGTACATTACTTGTGAAGAATAGTTTTGGTCATTTTGATGTTCGTGTGGAATTTGTAGAGGAGATTAAATGGACTATTAAAGGTAAAGACTTCGTCTATAGAGTATTCCTCTCAAATTATTTACTATATGGTTTGGTACAGCTACGGCTAAGAGTTTTCAATATGTCACCTAATATAATTCTCATTTTCAGTAAGAACCCATAAAACGCTAACCCTGGGTATAACTATGTGAAAGTGAGGTGTATGCAAATTTACAAATGAACTACATAAATGATGCTGAAACGCCACAGTTGCGTTTCCTGATCTCAGTCTTGATTTTGTTATCCAATCCACCTCACACTGGTTGAGATTAATGCATCTGTGTCTGTCTGTCTGTCTGTCTGTCAACTTAGTCAGCAACTGTTTTCACCTCCATTATCTTGAAAATTACCAAGAAGAGTTTATCTTGGTCATTTGTTTCACGTTACCCAGAAACTTATCGCAGAATGTCAGCGACTGAATCAGAAACTTTCCTCTTACAACACGATGGATGATGGATGCATTATTTCTCAACATCCTTGAGCCACCAGATGAAAGTGGAGCTGATTGTCATCTCAAATGATCAGCAATACTGTACCTGGGTTCTGTAGACCATTTTGTGGTTTGTGTGGATTTGGTTCACCTCTGCGCTTTTAATATTGATGTCGACTGGACTCGGAGCCCTGAATACTGCACAGTGTACAGTGTGACATATATATTGACTTTACCCATTCTGACCACTTAGCACCTAACTTGGGTATCTATGCCAGTGTAGCAACACATTTAGATTCAATAATTCTACTAGTAACAGTATTTTATTCACACACACTATTGATATACTCTGTCAAGCTAAGAAATAAACTCCGTCCATATCGCCTAGCATCATCAGTTCATAGAAAAACAATTGGAGTTTAAGGCTCTCTTCCTGACACACGTAGGTCATGGGTAAATGAAACATTTTCGACTATTTTTTTTCAGCACAACCGCAATGCATGATGTTATATATTGCTTGGTTAGTGACCATTGGTTGTACACTACTTTTCATGATGCATTGTGTATAATACTTCTCACTATACATCCGGACAGACCTACAACATAGCAAACTTGGTAGTCGGGGATTTCACACACAGCCACACACTTCTCATTCTGACTCTCCCTTTTGAAGAATAATAATCTATAGCATTATACTGCAATATATATGATATGCAATGTCAGCTATGAGACCTTTATATAGACAGGTGTGTATGTGTCTTTCCAAATCCTGTCCAATCTGCTGAATTTACCCCAGGTGGACTCCAGTCAAGGTGTAGAAACATGTCAAAGATGATCACGAGAGATGAAATAAAAACTATAAATAAATTTCAAGTGTCATAGCAAAGTGTCTGAATACTTGTGATATTTCAGTTTTACCTTTTTAATTAATTCACAAAAATGTATAAAATTCAGTTTTCACTTTGTCATTATGGGGTAATGAGTGTAGATTTGTGAGGGGAAAAATGAATTTAAATGATTTTAGCATAGGGCTGCAATATAAAATGCGAAAAAGCTTTAGTGATGTCCCTCAACTGTAAGTCGCTTTGGAAAAAATGTCAAATGATAAAATGTGATGTGAAAAAAGTGACACACATAATACGCATAATGAAACCTGTATCTTTCTGCTCTCCCTCCGCTTATAAAAATGTAAAATATTCATACAACCTTCTTGTCTAAGGTCGATGACCTCTGTATCACCAAATACAGAACAAAAAACGCTTAAGGATTATTGAATCTTTCACATGCATTCAGTTATTCTTACCCTTCTGCTTTTTAAGACAGCTGTTCAAACGTTTCAGAAATGAGAGGGTAACTCACTCAGCGTAGATATATAATGCTGTTTAAGCATGTCATTGACCTTAACATAAGTGTCTTAGTCACTGAAAGTCATTCCTGTATGTCATGTCATGGAATTCTATTCTCACCATACCCTTGTAAACCTGAGTGGGATTAGTTTTAGTCACCCACTAATGACCTAACAATAGCAAATTCCATTGATAATATTTAAAATAGCTGTGACATCACTGTAACTTCCACTTCCACACTTCTGAGAACTTCTTTGCATCAAAGCTGGTTGTTAGATGCAGGGAAGATTATATCTGCTATGCCAATTCTTTATCTATTGATTGAATAATTTTCAGGTATGCAATAAAAACTTTTCATGTCTATTTTATGCGATTGGAAGTATATACTGTAGGGTCTTCTTTAATTTTTTTAAACTTCTTTAATTTTGTTTTTGTGTAAACTGTAATTTTGTTGGAAAAATCAACACAGCTAAATTTTTGTAAAGTGGAAGAATGAAAAGTATGGAAGTCATTCAGAAAGTTCCTCAATAACAGAAATAGCTGAGGACATTTCCCAGCATGGACCAGAACAAAGCTACGTCACTAAAACATGTGAAAGAACATGTGCATTATGGGATGATGGGAGGTCACTGCCTGGCTGATATTTCAGTGACTATAATCATTTTATCTTCAATAACATCTAAGGGAAATTCCTGGTGACACCAATGAAAACTACTGGATTTGGGAGATTTTGTTGCGTCAAAGCAAAATGGTATGTGTGTTTTTGTAGAATTTTTGATTTACAGTGCACATCCAGTTCTAACAAAGACCATTTTTCTCATCCTTAATCACAAAAAAGTCTCCTGGTGTATCATCAGATGGTAGACAGACAAAGTTAGCAAGTAGCTGGTGAATGTAGGAGTTGGAGACAAAAATAGGAAAAGAGAAGAGTGAATATTGGCCAGAAATTTCTAATGAATGCTTATGATGTCTGTTGGATGGTGTTTAAAAAAAAAAAAACAGCTGTTTGCTAACATTTTAACCATATCAACTTTATAACATGACAAAGTGTCAATGTTGAATTCACAGCTTGTTCTACTAAGAAAAATCAAGTAATGCTGCTTTAACTTTTCTCCTTCAGGTCCCTGAGGAGGACATAGTGAGCGTGACAGACATGCTGCAGCATCAGAGGAAAGAACCAGCTACCAGCTGATTTCAGAAGCGTCATTTGCAGACACCCCCCCACTCCAGCTCCAGTGGCTAGGGGTGGCAGAGCAGCAGGAAAGGAGGCTTACTCTGTGCCTCTGTCCCTCTGTGCAGTATTAACTTCTATGAACTTGCCATGAACACCAGAAGCACTTCTTTGTGGTGTGCACATAGTCTGTCTGTGGGGCCTCCTGTTGTAACCTTTCCGAGGCAGGATGCACTGAGTCGCAGGAGGAGCCCACAAACCTTGCACATACACATCAAAATCCACACTCCTAAACACATACACATCCAGACACACATACACATACACACCTGCACATTCAAATTCACAAGCACAAGGCCAGATATATGAAAATGTATGCTAGACTCACTTTCTAATACAGGACTTGAGATCTTGTGGTGTACGATCTGAAGTTGAATTGTTCATAACATTATTTTGCTCCATACAGCAGAACATACTCGCATATATTTCGCCAGTGCTATAAACACACAACTTAGTCTTCCAGTAATGTTTATATCATAACGCCATGTGTCTAAACAACTTTTAATCAAAGGCCATTCGTAAGAATTGCAATTTTTTTTTGCAAGGCAGTTGTGTTAACATTGATCTTACAATAATTTTCTTGCAAAAGAAAACTGACAATTTCAGTTTTTGACAACAGGGCTTACTCAGTGTGGTTTGAGAGGAATGTGCAGGTAGTTCTAATATATTAAAACTACTACAAATGCAGTCAAACACGAGAGTAGGTTTGGTCAGTGTTTTTTTTTTTTTTTTTTGATTGTTTCATTAATAGGTCAGCAGTCAGCAATTCTTAACCATAGCATTACCAAGGTCAATAACACTATGTCTTATTTTTTGTTATTTGCACAATAAACTTAGTTTAGCTAATATCACTTAGATGTTTTCTTTGGTACAACTACATTTTGTACAATTTGAAGTAAGAGTATTCTGTAAACATTTGTAATTTTTGTGCTGCTTCATTCAATAAAGAATATTGAAAATAGGTACTTTTTGTTTACTTTTTGGCATGAGATATTTGTTTAATTTTTATGGCATAAAGGTTAAACTGTAACTGCATATTTCAACAAATAGTGACTACCTCATGACATGCCATTGCATGTCATTCACCACTGACGAGTCAAACGTATGATGTCAGAATGACAAGTCATTTTTGTTTTTTTGTTTTTTTTTTTAAGTATATTTTTTGGGCTTTTTATGCCTTTATGATAGTACAGTAGAGAGAGACAGGAAATGGAGAGGTAGAGAGAGGGGGAATCACAAACAGGAAAGGGCCGTCCGATGCGGGATTTGAACTGGGACCAACTGCAGTGAGGACTGTAGCTTCTACATATAGGGCGCCTGCTCAATCCACTGTGTCACTCGACGCCCTGTCATTTTAGTTTTTAACAGGAATGGACCAAATGAGGTGGCAGTAATAATGACTTTGTGGTGCTTGACCTGTCTCAGCTTTAAAGGGAAGCCAGCACCTCAAAGGTGTTTTGCCCTTTGTTTTCAAGTCTGTGGTGAGGTGTAACAAACCTTTTAAAAGCCTAAAATATCCTCGCTGGAGATACAGTGCAGCTCAGATTATTGATATTCCTCACAAAAATAACATCTTAATTTCTGAAGTTGGACCAAATTGAAGATGAAACAAATTCAATACCTCCTCTAAGGTTTGGGAGCAGGCTGCCATGGGCGAACATCTGAACCACAACCACTATGTTAACCTGCAGGAAATTAGAGGATGGACATCCAGACTTTGATGGAATTTATTTAAGAATAAAAAACAAAAACAACACTTGAAGCTGAAATGTATGTAAAGTATGATGGAATGTCATTTGCATAAAAATGAGATACATCTTTTAACGGATGATTTGCCTAAGGGGAAGCAAGTACAAGGAAAACAAAATTGGACCCAGAACCGAACGACGTGGCACACCAGTGGACCAAGCTCCAGATCTGGAAAACTACCATCAGAGAGGTAAGAGAAAACCTGCAGTTTACAAATTACAAATAAATGATCACCAGTGTCGATGGGTTCCAGCACTGCCAAAATAGAGCATTTACCTGTGTTAAGATTTTGTTAGAAGAGCTGTTTCAAAGTAAAACGTGTATGAGACAGCTTTGTGCTGCTTGGCCAAGATATTTTTTCTAAAAATTTGCTAATAGAATACAATTAAAACGTTGCTATAGTGGGATAGAGATAGATGTTTTTAAACATAGAAGTCGGCAGAATATTAAAACTTTGGGGTTAGATATCAAAGTCAAATGGTTTATCATTCAATGAATAGATTTTTTTTCTTTGTAAATGACTTCTATTGTATTGTAAAAAGCTAACGGCCTGTTTGTCAATATTTTATGTGCTGTAATTTTTAATCTTTAATTTGCTTGTGAATCTTATCTGCACAATATCTCAGAAGCACATGAGGCATTCAAGTCACACCTCTGAGCATGAGTGATTTCGAAAAAATGGCATCATGGAATGCAAGTCGACACAAGTCATTCCTTGTGTTGTGTGTGTGTGTGTCAAAGTGTGTGGGTGTAGATAACTGTCTACTAGTATATATAGGCCAGTTAATCAGTGAAAAGTGTTTTGCAGAGTTGCACTTTGCTGCTTTTACTTGGTTTGTTTATCAACAAGGGCTGAGTGTTAAGCAAATCAGTTATTACTGTCACTATGGATTACAGAATCATGGGACTTCTAAGGCATTGTGGTAAATATCTTTATTATCTTTTATAATATATTCAAAAATGTAATAACTATATTGTTATTTAATGTATCTTATAAAGAAGATTAGTATTTAACCTCTTAGTTTGAATGTCCAGTAAGTAGCACTTGATTTGATGATGATCAAACTTTATTTTCTACATGTATCATGTTACTGATAAACTTCTGTACAGACACACGTGTAAAAAAAAAAAAAAAATAGTCTTGTCCAAAATGATAGAAATTGACTTTTATAAAACTTATTTTATTTGAATAATTTTTAGAGATAAAATAATTCACCAGAAAAGGAAAGAGAGGAAAATCAGAAATGCTTTTAATTTGTTAGGTGTAGCCGAAATATGTTTTCTGTTTTCCTAGTCTTTCCTAAATTATCCATCAACCGCTCAGATTTGCCCTTTTAACCTTTGGGGATTTCTCAACCACATGTTTTGACTCATTGATCTGACGAATTCAAAACATGGTGCTGAGGGCCTCCAACTGATAATCAGTGATGAAGGTTTAGACTCAGGTGTCAGTCTCTCAGAACTCATTCCCTCCCAACTATTTAGCCCAAACTTAGAGAGAAATCCATCACAGAAGAAGTAGAATCTTTACTGTATATTCTGTGTTACATTTGAGTCACCTGTATCCACTTTACCTTTTCTCAGCTCTTCTCCACCTGCTCCTCGAAATCCAGTGGAGGTCAGTGTCTTCTGCTCCAACTTACTCCAGCTGTAGTGACTTGGGCAGCACTATATCTCTTACAACTCTACTGCAACATGAAGCAGCCAACCTACTGGAAGAATATGTAAGTCTGTCATAATATCTTTCTTTTTTTTTTTCTTATGGTGTATTTCCTGTGCTACTTGCATACTTGCATATTTTTGTTTTGCGAAAATGACTTTTTTACTCTCAGGGATATTTTGCACCAAGTACAGTTTGTGTAGCTGGTGCAAAATTTGATCTTGGCGTTCTTGCACCGCTGTTGATGTAAGATATGTGACATAATACCTGAGGTTACGTGCAGACAAGATGATTTTACAGCTATTTTTGTTTGAATTTCATCCTCCCCTGCTTCCCTTTGTTGATTATAAATGTGAGCTCATGGGCTTCTGTAATGAAAAAGCTTCACTTCACATCTATCCACTAAGAAAATCATTTTAAAGCTGCACTACATTTTAAAAATCATAATCCTTTAGATTTCAGTCCTGGTTGATGTGGCGACAACTGTGGTTACTGTGGAAACAGCAAGTACAATTTAATGCTACAGCAAACACTTCCTGAGCAGCTACTTGATCAGAAACACAACAGAAGAGCAGTTGGTGTACCCGATTACAGTGCAGCCAAACAAACGCATGTTGTTTTAATAAAGAACTGAGTCAATAATGGTCACAACCACAGTCACAACCACAGTCCAATTTAATGCAGCACACTGTGCGAGTAGTTTCCCCACAACAGTAGGGCACAGAAGGAGTTGTTTAGCGTGTAGCCTCATTTCGCAGCTCACTGTGGTTTCAGGTTTTTAATGAAAATCTTATGGATTAGAACTGCAACAAGAAAACATCACCTTCATCTACAATATGCATTGTTGCCTAATACAAAAACTTGAGGTGATTTTTTTTGTATATACTTGTTTATTTTCATCTTAAAGAGCTCTGTAAAATAGACTTTAAACTAAAGACTTTCTACTTTAAATTTCCATTTCATGTACACTTAAACTTCAAATCAGTTTACATTCATTCATCCCAAGTGTCCTTATAACTGATAATTTGCAAAACCAAAATCTTAGTAACACATTGTAGATCATTTAAAAACCAATTAATGATGGAGGTTGAATTTTTATCACCTCTGAAATGTTCACTTCTTTTGCTCCTGTTTGAATTTTAAACAAGTGTGTTTTACAGTGATCACTTTCACTCCATGCTTAGATTTAAGGTGAAATCACACCAGACCCTTTCTTTCTTACAGAAAACTCATCATGGATCCAAGGGGGAATCCGTTCCAGCTGATGTTCCTAATTCCACCATATCCGGAGTCAACCTCTCTGAGAAGCTGCAGGACATCAGCACAAAGAATGTGCTTTTTTATTTGCACATTTTAAAAGTTGAAGGATATCAGGAAACAGTTTGGGGCAACCCAATATCTATTGCCGAGCCCTTGTCTCGCGTCAAGGGCGGGCTCTTCAACCATTTAACTAAAATCAAAACTATTCTTATTAACATCTCCCCTGAAATCCCTTTGCTGCCAACGCCGGCTCCACTGCAGTTGTCCCACAGTCATGACTATGCTAAAAAAGTATATGGCTATGGTGTCATAGTCTCACTGAGTGACTGGCTTAAAGCAGTGCTGCAGGTACTTGAGGAGACAAAGAACAAGTGTGAGGAATAGACGGCAGGGAGTCAATCCTTTTAAAGGGGCATTCCACCAATTTACACATGAAGACGAGTTAAACTTGTATTGAGGATCTGAGGTAACTTTCTAATGCCTGAGAAAATATCTGAGGATATGACCTGAGGTCCTCACCCCCTCTCTAATATTTTCTGCCATGCTTACGATTTTTTTTTTTTTATTTTTTTTTTTTACTTAAACCCTGTATGATCAAAGAAGGTTACATACACTAACACTCGGAATTCAGAGGTGGACAAAATTAAGATGTCCTTCTTTCTCCTCTCTCATAAAATGGTGCCATCAAACCTCCACCTCAAATTTTGTGTAAAAGCTCTGCAATGTATCTTTCAGTTTATTTAGTTATATTTATATGAAGTTATTAATATTTATTTATTTAAAATGGGATTTTTTGTTAATTAAATGTACAGTAAATTCAGCAGACTGAAATGTAATTTAGATTAGGATTATTTATATATTATTGAATATGTATTTATTTTCTGAAAAGGGGATGATGATGTTTATTATTATTATTATTATTATTATTATTATTATTATTATTATTATTACAACTTTATCGACCACAGCACTTTATTTATATAATGTAGAATTTTTCCATAACCGTTTACAACATGGTAGGAAGACAGAAAAGCAAGTACATTAAAAACATGAAGAGGAGGTTCATTCATTTTATTTATTTATTTATTATTATTATTATTTTTATAATTGTTATTTTTATTTCAGTCCAATGTGTGTTATTTATTCATTAATAATTTATTACTTTGGTAACAAAACAAAAGTGTAAGTTTCGTGTTGTTTTTTTGTTTTTTTTTGTTTTTATCTCCTGTGAGTGTGGTAATGGAAACAGGTTTGCAACACTGGGCTCTTATCAGTGAGGTGCTGGGCACTGTCAAGCTGTGGGAGGAAGAGTTCAAATGCTCTGCAGTAAATGACATTCAGCAAAAGTTGATGCACTCATGGGTGTGTATATATTTCTGATAGGTCATTTTGTAAGGTCAGCAGTTACCAAGAATTGTTAAATTAGTGTTTTGTTTTGATGCCTTTGTATCTGTTCAGCTCATCCTATGTTTACATGAGCAAGTGCTACGTTCCACTTAGTCCACCTCATTTGCTATGAAGTTTTATTTGTTTTTCTTTTTCTCTTTTTTTCATCTTAACTTTTTCTATTTATTATATATTCATGAATTTCACAGTGTTAATTTTGCTGGTTTCATTAATATTTTTGTTATTGAATGCCACCTTTTTTCCTACTGCCCTTTATATGGGGTGGCAGCACACAAAGCATTTTACGTCATTAAAGCATTTTATGTTTACATAAATTAACAAGACAATAAATATGTTGTTGAAATGTGCTCAGTGAAACAAAATAAAATTGACATTGAAGAACAACACAAAATGTGTAACCTCAGCCTCTGCTGTAAAGTTTATTTTGTGGCTGTAACAAATATTTCTGATGACACAATAAAGAAATTGTGTAATATTCTGCATCAGTTTGCTTTTTATTGCTTTTGAAAAAAGTGAAAACAAAAACTTAACTTTTATTTAATATTTATTCTAGAATTTGCAACAATTCTTAGACCAATGACGTACCTCATGTAATATCAAGCAAATCACACCAGCGCTGTAGAGTTAGAAAATGTAGTCTGATGGTTAAACTGGACTAAACCGGGTTGACATGATGAAGGATATTGTGGAGTTGTGGTTAGAGTTGCATCTACGCACAGGAAGTGTTGCGAGAGGGGGATCACAGCAGGAATGAATCAATCATAACGTAGAAAAATCGTCATTACAAAAGTGCGTGATAAACAGCTGACGTATATTAAAGAATGTTGCTTGTCAGAATTGTGTGTTTCATCTGAATTGATGTCAAGATAAAATGGCAGTTTATTTTAATGTTGGGTCAGAGAGTGAAAGTAGCTGTTTCTACAAAATGCAAATTCACTACTTGTGCGGAGATCATGCAAGATAAATAAAAGCCAGTGATAAAAAGAGCAATGTCTTTTCTACAAAACAAAGACATTTCCCAAACCAAACAGATCCTTTGCTTAAATATGAGCGGGTGATTATCCTGAAAATTATTTTGGATGCAAAAAACGGGAGATTTCATCAAATGAGCTCACCTCGACGACAGTTGTGTTCAGTACAAATCGTTGGAAATTTGCAGTATTTCCTTTCCCTGAGAGGAAGTGACATACCTTGGTTTACTGCTTTACTTTTTTCATCAAAGGATATGGCAAAGTTAGCGATAGGTTCAGATTATCTTCAGCACACGCCCCTTTTGAGAGTTGTGCAATTATAAAAATCATCTTGTATGATTGAGATTGCATTGCTGCAGGGATCAGTCTTTGTAACATTTGAAAACTTGAGTGGAGTCAGAATGAAATACACAACAGGTACAGTACGCCATGCAGTTTAATTTCTTCATTCATTTATCAGCGTGTGTCAGAAACACAAGTTTTCAAACTTTGAAATTTATTTGATGGTTTTAAAATGTGCAATTGCATTTGCAGGTTTTCTGAAAGTGGTGTGTGCCTGGTTGGTGATGCTGTTGCCAAGCTTGGATGCAGGACATTCGCCAAAGAAACATACAGCTGCAGCATTGTGCAGGCCAAAAGAGCTGACAGCCCTCGCCAAAAGTCTAGTTGAAAAAAGCTTGACAAGTTTTGTAAGTAACACAAAAAAGTGTGTCTTGTGGTTGTGTATGTGTCATGTCTTCACCATACCTTCTGCCTCAAATGCAGACGTTTTTGGTCTCAGCAGCAGCATTGGGAGCACAGAAAAAGTTCTTCTTTCAAAGCTGTTTCTGTGAAGCAGCTCTTAATCACTGTGCAGAAACACAAGTAGCAGTAGAAGGAGTATTTAGATCTTTTCCTTAAGAAAAAGTATCACAGTATAAAGTATAAATATACATTATTCAGAATCATTCAGTGCTAAAATAGTATATACAGTATATATGTTGTGCAATGTAAGCAGCAGTTTACTGCTGGTGGAGCTGAAGTGAGTTGGATGAGTTAATCTGTGGTTTCTTTTTCCATATTTTACTAAACCTCACTACGATCACCTACTTTATTCAAATTAACCATATGAATATTAAATTACATGAACTTTTCACTTCATTGTGTAGGATGAGCCTGTTGTGGAGAGGACACATGTCTTCATACGTTGCTCATCTGTGATCTTTATCTTGGTGACATTGGAACGTTGCCATGCACCAATAAGCATTAATGGTGACTTTTGAAACCACATCTTTTACTAAATCTGCAGACACATTAATTGAGTGGGTGTAGCGTATATCCATTCTGAGCTCTTGTCTCTAATGTGACCCTGCAGAGACAGAATTGAAGAGATTAGAGATATATTTGTAATACAAATTTGATAAATTTCATGTCATGAGCAAAATAGACCTTCCACTTAAATTCACTGTTGCTCTTCTCTTTCAGGATGAAGCCAATGGGAAGCACCTTGGCACTTGGTCTCCTGGCTTCCCTGAGCTCCATGTGCACCAGAACTCTCCCCTCGTCTCCTCAAAAGTTCAGTGCAGCCTCCTCTTCATGGCTCAAGGCCTTGGGGAAGTCCTGGAGGACCAGAGGGGCAACCTGAATCCCAAAGATGTTTCACTTCATAAGGAGCTGGAGGCCACCATCTCCCAAATCTACATGCTCGAAAAGTGTGTGAAAAATATTCTCGGAGGGGAGTGCTCCTCTAAACCAACTCCACCCAAAATGCCCATATCTGTGTTTGAGAGGAAGCAGTGGAGTCACACTCTGTTGAAGACAGCCAGGGACTATCTGAACTGGCTGGAGCATAACGTTCAGGTCCACATTTCAATGGTCAAAGGGAGAAATAACAGAAAACATAAAGTTGCTGTGGTAATGCGTCAGAAATACTATGAGGGGAGTGGATACCTCCTGTAATTTTTTAACAACTTGTGATGGAGATGTGGTTACAGTCTATGGCAGCTTAAAATATTTTTTCAAGATTTGTAAATGTTTCATGTATACAGCATATTGGCATACATTTGGGATATTTATAATTTGCATGAATTCAATGCAAATGCAATTGGTAATTCTATATAGACAGTCTAAAGTCGTTAATATAACTGATCAAATCCCCTTTTTTTTCACAATTTTTGGTTTAAAGAATAGTTTGATATATTGGAAAATACAATTTCTGACAGATCCAGGCTGTTTCGCTGTCACCACCAAAATTAAACTTATAGCAATATATGTATGGGACCTCGGCCCAAGTCTGGCCCATATACAGTACTTCCACATTTGGGCATAGTCTGGCTGTTATCCTCCGGTATTGACTGACAGCCAGAAGATTTTCTGTGTGTGCATCAGAATTGGTCCAGATGTGGAAGTAGCATCTTTCAATATGGGACAAATATGGACCATGGAACTGAGCGGATACTGGACCAGAATAATACAAGCATGTGACCCAAGCCTTGATTTATTTTTCTACCTGGGTAAGCCAGCTGGCTGCTAGCTGTAGCTCCATATTTGCTTTACAAAGATTGGTATCGATCTTTACATCTAATTTTCGGAAGTGAACATTTGTATTTGCCAAAATGTCATACTACTTCTGTAAAAGGTATATCAGAAATAGCTTTGTTCAGTTAAACTTGATATTTTGCAACAACTGACACGGTTCCCGAGTGATGGTAATTAATCAACTTGCCAACAAGGCAAATGAGAAGGGGCTCTAATACATTTCCTAATTACGACAGTTTGTTTTTTCAGCCTTCACAATGATTAATTGTTTTGCTCTGGCCATCTATCCCTTGTGAGCGGGCTACATTGCCTGAGGTAGAGAGAGAAGCTGATAAGAATCACCTTCAGAGAGCCACAAGGTTGGGCTCCAATCACTGTATTCTGCAGTGAAATGCGAGGACAGATGGACAGTGCACAGTAAGGCAGATAAGTCTGTCAGACTCCCATCAAAGCAACGCAAGAGAACAACAACACTGTAACAAAGATTAATGTGGGCCTGGTCCTCTGCAAATTAAGTGATCAATTAATATTCTATTAGTAGTTCCAATGTGGTGTTGGTCTGGATGAGCTTCTTTAAGTTACTGAATTTTATACATTTATATATTTTGTTTTTATACTTTTCTTTCGACTGTTGTGACCAATAGAAATTGTTCAGTTGTTTATTTTGTTTTTTTTACAATACACATTAAACTGTTTTGAAAGCTTTGGTGATTTCAAGTTGACTTGGCTTGCATGATCATTTTCTCAACTAAATTCAACCCAGATGTTGACGAGCAAACTTTAAAATACATGATTTTCTTTGGGCTTTTGGTAGCTTTAGAAGTTTTAGCATGCCTGTCACCCCTTGTATTGGATAAACTACACACATAGCCCAGTATAGAGCTGCCCTTTACACCTGTAGCACAACAGTTCATGAAAATATCAAAGGCACTACTAAAGAAATTCTGAATGTCACCGTTTTAGTTTCACAGTCACTTTTATTAAATAGCTGATACATATGCATGCACTATACACAGAAGTAATGACACATTCTTTGCGGTTTTAAAATATTCACCAAAACATAAAACAGCCGTTAACTTCTTTTAAAATGAAGCCTATTTTATGACATGAACTGCTTTGACGCGAATCCTGATGGATGAGCTGCCTGCTATGTAGACCTGATGATCATCACGGATGAATGTATGAAGCCTTCTATGCACTTATGAAGTGTAAATAATCAAATCACATGTAGCATTTGTCCATTTTTGAGAGATTGGTCTTGGATATCTTCATTCCTTTGCCACTATAATGCAAGATTCTCCAAGACAGCAGTTCATTTGTAGAGAGTAAAAAGCACCCTTAAGGTGTCCAATCAGGACATATTATTGGCCCACTGCTGTTCCTGTACATCCTGAACCCGAGAAGAAAGTCAAACTCTTATACAGGAAGTAGCTCTGGCGGACTCTCTCCGTAGCAGTACTTTGCTTGAGGGTTTCGGTAGGTGTTCTCATGTTGAACACTCTGCATGAGAAGAAAAAAGTATAAACAAATTAATATATTTGAGTGTTTTTTTTATTGTACAAACATACATTTTGCTGCTGAATGAACAAATTCAATACAATTGAGCTTACAACTTAATTTGAATGTTCATAGGTAATAAAATATAACATTCATTCAGCACCAGAATTAAGAAAATGCTTATTTTAGTCTTAATTCTGAGTTTTTGTAAGCAATTAATATTGGGGAGAGCAACAATCAAAGCCACTACAGAATGGATGTGATCATATATTTTAATCTGTGGGGAATTATTGTATGATATAAAACTGAAATAATGACACTCTATAAAGAAAACAACCAAAACCTGCTGTGGCCAGTTTTTGTGATTCAGGAAATTCATGAGACAGTTGCAATGAGTCGTACTGATGCATTAAAAGTTGTTTGTATTGTCACAGATGAATATTATACAAGCAAAATACTGACTTTAATTGTTAAGAGATGCATGGGACGTGTGGTTGCTCATCTGCGGGACGACGGTTCTCAGTTTTAGAATAATGGAGTGGCTACATTTTAGACTTGTTCTGTATGACTGTAAGTTAGGAGAGGTGGTCTGTCAGAGCTGATTGTTTTAAATCCTATTTGTTTCATAACATACTTGTGAAGAGGTTCTACACTTGGCCAGGCAGAGCTCAAAATGATCCTCGACGGCGGTGAAGAGATTCTGGAAACCTTCAGCTGCACGATTCAGGAAGCGCTCGAGGAGAGGTTGCTGAAGAAAATAAGAGATAGAGAACTTGTGAAAAACACTCGAGAACAGATTTCATTCTGTTACTCTTTTCTCCTTGTAGTCACTGCTATGTATAGACTGCAATATCAAGATTCAACTTTGGGCCTCCTGGTATCTTGATTCTTGAGTTTGAACATTATCTATTGAAATGTATTCACGAGATACAGCATGTTGACAAGGTTTGCCATTGGTGATCAAAGGAACAACCCAAGCCCCTGAAACATCCTTGATGTGACATATCAGATACCTTATCAGGCTGGAGACAGCAAGACACGCAATACTCATAGATGCTACAGCAGCCATTGGCCAGGCAGCTTTTACAGATGTACTGTCTGGTGCTGGGAGCGTTGACGTTACAGCAGCCGTTAACCAGCAAGTCTTTTCTCTCGCAGACATAACCTGTGAAACATCAAGCACATACATTGATTAAAGGCCACAGTCTCATGGAGCTGTTTTATCATCACTGTTTGGTGATGAGTAACCGTTGTATTACTCACCAAGTTCATCTGTGAGCAGTGTCTTGCCCTGGATGGAGTTTCTGCACTGAGTAATCTGTCTGCTGCTGTTGCCCAGGTTGAAACGGACTTTCCAGGGGATGCGATGGTCTGAATCTCTAACCTCTAAGAGTGTGCGGTCCCGTATGGTCCTTTCCTCCTGCGAAATTCATGATGCGTCATCAAACAACAACTTAACTACCTAATTGCCTAAATAAGTACACCTCAAAGTGGCAAATTTCCGACTTAAACCAGATAGGGATGAGAGAGATAGTGAAATGATAAGTCTACAGAGAAAAAAGGCAATGTTTTTACCACAAACATACACCTTTGAAAAACTGTGCTTGCAGGTTGCGTTGGACTATTTCAAAGGTAGAGGATGGTCACACCAAATATTGACTTGATTTAGTTTTTTTCTGATTATAGCACTTTGTATGAAGTTAACTGATTCATGATGTTAATTTTTTAAAGCACCCTCAGTTTACTTTTAGGGCCTAAAACGTCTGCAGAGTAATAGGCCATCTCAATTGCTTCTGTCTCTTCATGTAATCTCAGACTGACTCCATGATTTTGAGATCAGGGCACCAGACCATCTGTTGCAGGACTCCTTGTGCTGCTTAAGATAGTTCGTCTTTATGATTCTGGCTGTATGTTTGGGGTTGCTGTGACAGTACTGTGCATAGTTTCACAATGCAATGTGCTCTATTGGGATATAAATTCACACATGCCAACGATCTTATCCAGATAGCCCAGCCCTGCATGGTGCAGTGGGAGTAGTAGTAGTGGGAGTTTCTGTACCTGTTTGAGCGTGCTGGTGAGAAAGTAGATGAGCGACAGCCCGAAGACTACTCCCAGCACCCAGCGCTTTCTCAGTAACCGCCGTAGCACCATCATAGCATGGCTTTGTTGTGAAGATGCCGGAGGTGACAGTGACAGTCCAAACCATCAAATCTCCACCGGCGGGTATCAACTGCCTGACCGACGTATTTGCCAGGTATAATGTAACGGTGTCTGACTGACTCAAAAAGCAAAGTAAGCAAAGTAAAACTCTGTAAACTGACGTTAGCTAGCTTTATCTGACAGGAAATATGATAAACAAGACGCTTTAAGCTAGATTCCGGACAGCCACGTTAGCTAACCCATGTTGCAGGTTAAGTTACTCACAAAACAAGCAGTAGCTGTAAATATTACTTAATCTCTCAAAACAGTTAAGCAATGGTCAAGCAAGATAACATAATGACAGCTTGCTTTGTTAGCCTGTTAGCTAGCTGTCGTTAGCATTAGCTCTCTGTCTTTGAAAAGCTAAAGAGTGATGTTAAATAAAATGCTAATATAGTTCGACACAGTCTAGTGACGCAGTTTCGTCCCCTATGAAGTATTATTCGGGTTTGTTCAAGATTGCGTCTAACAGGCAGCAACTCTGATGTTTATCCAGCGAAATGTGACACCCACCATCAGCATAACACATTTTCCAACACGGATGTGGTTTGGTGGGTAGGAGGACGCCGATTGGCAGATAGGCGCACCTCAGTGACGCCATACAGGAAGTTTTTGGAGGTGAGCTGAGCTGGACCGTCGGAGCATCCTCAGCATCAACACCAACCGTTGCTAATCTTACTCTTAACTATGACAACAAGAGCTGAGGGGCAATTCACTGAACTGATTCAGGTAAAGACGTCTACATTGTTATGTAGCTTACCGTGTAACGCATGAAACACACACAGAATAGCAGAATAAAGCCAGTGATGCTGATTTGCATTTTGCAGGGCTGGATCATGTGGTGATGAGCGGTGTGCCATGCAGAGGAGACACAGCAGTAACACGGATGGCATGCCCTCTGAAAGGTGGGAAAATGAGCTCTCAAAAGTAGGATAGCTGCTTTTCCAAGCCGATTATTTGTGTATTGTCTTCTTCATCCACTATCAAGCCAAATTTATGTGAACCCTCCTGTCCTCCTACAGTCTGGGGCTTTTCTAATTGGTTTTGCCAAGGCCTCTTAGTTCCATGTAAAGCAAACTATAATTCTACAGCTTACAATTATATTCAACCCTTGTACAGCAGTGGGATGTATCTCTAAAGGTATTTGTGTGATCCAACAGATGCCCCCATTAAAAAATTAAATATATTATATAAAATACCCTGGTATTAATAATAATCCATTTCTGATAGGGTTTCTCAATAGAAAAAGTTGCATCCACGTCATTTTTCCCCACTCAGGAGCCGAAGCCAAACTCTGGGATCAGAGAGCAGCCTGGATGAGGGTGGTGTGTTCGACTGCCTGAAGCCTGACTCACCCGCGTCACCCCAGCAAATCTTCTCCGGCCTGGTGGGTGTCCCTTCCGGCTCTGTCTCCTCCGCCCAATTCCAGGCAGCCGGCTTAGTCCTCGGCTCTCCCCCTGAAGTTTTCATCCAGATGACCGCATCATCCAGAGAAGAAGGTGGACCCCACCGCTCGGAGGGTGGTCCTTTTCTCCCTCGGCCTCCCCCGCACCACCATCACCACCACCACCACCACTTCCACCACCAGCCCCTTCAGCACAGGACCTCCTCTCTGCTGCAGCAGGCCACCACGGCGGCCGGCTCGGAGAGGCACGGCTCCAGGGAGGAGGCCCAGGAAGACCCGTCCACCCCGGCCCCGGCCCTGTCTGAGCTGAAGGCAGTAGTCACCTGGCTGCAGAGGGGTTTCCCCTTCATCCTCATTCTGCTGGCTAAAGTCTGCTTTCAGCATAAGCTAGGTATGCCAGCATGTGGAGTAATAGTGCTGGTATCTGTATCCAGTAGTACACCACGTGAACAAAGTATCATTAGCAGCGAAATATCTGGTTTTGTGATGATATTGCACCTCTCTTCTACAGGTATTGCTGTGTGTGTGGGGATGGCCAGTACATTCGCCTACGCCAATTCCACTTTTAGGCACCAAGTGTCATTACGGGTAACAAGCAAACTTGCACTTTAGTAACTGCTGTGCTGATGCATTTTTCATTTCTTTTTTTTTTTAAAGAGAATAACAACATATGATATTTTGAAATGTCAGTGTAAACCAAGATAGCTCTTCTGGGTCCGTATGTGTGATGAAAGGTGAGGTGTGTGTGTTTTCGTATCTGGAGCAGAGGAAACTGGAGAGAGCGGAAGAAGTGAAGTATCACACAGCTCAAATTGAAGTTATTTCACTGGTTAAAAAAATTATACTGATACTGCTAATTTTACAGTTGTAATATTGTATTTTGTCAGTTTCTTACTTTATCTTAATGCCCCAGAGCATCCCTACCAAAGAGATGAGGCAGATTAATAATGCACTACACATTCAGTTAATATCATTACATTATTGCAAAAAAAAAAAAACTAGCATTGAATTAGATTTAAATGAAATCATTTTAAAGAGTGTCTCTTTTTGCGTTACCAGGAGGAACGCTCTGTATTGGTTGCTCTTTGGATCTTAATGTTCCTGGCAGGAAATATCGTCTATATCTACTACACATTTAGTCACGAGGAGCTGCACAACAGGTAGTGTACAAGCAGGTATTTTTACAGTAGCTTTGTGTTTCTTTGCCTGTCATCTTATGTTTTGGATTTACTCTGTACATATTGTTTTTTCCACTCATTTTGTGTTGTGTAAGTCATTTTATTTGTACTTCCATTTTCTTTAGGGAGTGTTCCTGTTCTTGTCTGATCTTGTCCTGTGAGTATTTTGTGTTTATTTCGTTATTTTTGTTTCCAGAGTTTTTCTTACATTATGTTAAACATTTGCCTTCCTGTTGCTTGTCATTCCACCATCCCGAGTGAAAACCCCAGACCTCCCTATAACAAGTCATCTAGGTGTTTCCTTTTTTCCCCTCTAGCCTCATATTCGCCAAGCCCAACCTCAACAGCTTTGACTTCTTTGATCTGATCTGGGCAGTGGGCATCACTGACTTTGTCCTGAAATACTTCACCATCGGCCTGAAATGCTTTGTCCTCTTTTTGCCGAAAATTCTCCTGGCCTTCAAATCCAGGGTAAGAAATCCACATTCATCCCTCTGGTCCTGAGCTCACCTACAGAAAATGTGACTTTTATTCATTTGTTTGACATAGTTTTTAATGGGCGTCCTTCAGCTGAGTTTACCGTCTAACAACTTAGTGTTAGTTAGTGCTCTGCTGTATGAACCGTACAATAATGGTTACAACGTACACTTACAACAGCCCTAATTAGCAAAAGTAATGACGGTCTAATTTGTTCATTTTTAAGCTGAATTTGTTTTGCTGCTTTTGTCTATTACATATAGTTGTTACATATAGTAAACTGACTCTCTTTGGTTTTGAGTCTACAAAACCAAAGAGAGTCAGTGCTTGTTTTGTCCAACAGTTCCAACCTACAACAGTCAAAACAAGCCATTTAACCTTGTTATGAGAACTTTTCCTCATTTTCTGCCATGTTGTAAATAACAAATAATTAAATAAAAAATAATGTATGAAGCAATAATGAAAATAACTAATGCACATGGGATGTTTACCCAAACAGCAATAAGTGCCTTCTGCTTTTTGTCCATCCAGTTCATTTAAAATCAGCTGGCAGAAAGCTTGGTTAAAACCTAACTAACCTAAGCTAAGATATCTCTTGTGACTGTAGCTTTGCAGGGTTTTATGTTTCCTGTGAACACATTACAGGCAGAGTAGACCAGGAAAACCCTGATGGGCATTCTTGGCTTTAAAAGGACACTCCAGCAACTTAGTATTGCACTTTCAAAAACTTCATAAACTAACTTTTCGTCTCTAGTATGGATCAAGCTCCAAAATGACTGAATCCTACATTTCCCATAATGCAACTCAGTAGCATTTCTTCCTGGTAAATGCTCATGCTTTCCAAACTCTTGCACTTGGCAAAGCTCCTCCGGTTTTTATAGTGGATATTATACAACTGTTTTTACAAGCTGAGTCATTCTTATGACTGGTAAACTGATCGTAACAAATAAAATTTGTGGAGTTCCCTTTTTAAAAAAATTGATGAACTTCCTTAGTTCCTTAGTTTGTCCATAACATGAATCACAGAAAGTTTGATGTCAAAAGTTGAGAAAGTTGTTCATATTTTAAAAAAATTATGATGAAATACTCCACCGAGTGAAGAAAGTGCTAAAGGGTCACAGTGTGAAACTGTTTTGTATTCATAAGGTTTTAAATGGTTCTCCTTAGGTGAGCTTGTGCATGTGGGTGTCTGCGTGCATTGTTCTGGCCTGAGGCAACAGAATATGTCTGCAAACACACTCGCTCTTTCTCTCTCTCTCTCTCTCTCTCTCTCTCTCTCTCACACACACACACACACACACGCGCAGTCTTTGATTTCCATACAGGTGTAGCTCATATTCCTGGTGTGTGTTTGTGCGTTGGACAGGTGGAGGAGGAGAAGGGTTACAAAGTATTAGGATTAAATTTTCCACTGATAAACAGACCTACAGGCCTATCAGAACCACGGCAGCCAGCAACTGAGCTCATTTGCCCTCAAGGGGGTTGCTGGGGTGAGGTCATCCCTCCCTGGAGCTGGACCATTACCTGTACCCTCCACTCACATGTACACACACACACACACATACACACAGATATACTACACATACATAGACTATTTGACAGCTTTCACAGGACACATGTTGAGTTTTATGGGAATCAAAGATTGTATCATCACTGCCTTCTACTAGTTAACAGTGGCCCATGAGTCGCAGCCTACTCTCAACTCCTCCTGTCTACTTCATTACTGCATCCAACCATGGCTACACTAATGATCCTGCTTAATCACTGCAGTTAGCACGAGTCTGCACAAGTGACAGCTGCAGGAACGTATACAGAAGTTCCATGACGGCTTTGTTTTAAAGGCTCACGCTCATATTATCTGCTTATCTTTGAATTGTATTAATCGTGTGTTAAGTGTGTAAGAATATTCATTGTTGAACTGAACTTTCAGTGGAAGAAGTCTCTCTTGAGTCTTTTGGCACATGCAATATCTCCTAAATGTGGTCTTCTTAATATTGATTTGGTGCTCTATTTTTTTGTTGGTACTGCTCTGCATGTCTATTTGGTTGGCCTCAAGCAAGGAGAGGTTTTCTGTGGCCGCAGGAAATGTTTAAGCAGGAGCACACATGTCAAGTAATGCTGCAGTTAATAATGTTTTTCCAATACTGATTGATACTTCATCTTTCAAAGAACGTTACAAATCAAAGGTGGCATCTTCAGATTGCTTATTTTGTCCCACTAACACTAAAGTCATAAAATATTTAATGATCTAAGAAAGCCAGAATAGCTTCAGTTCTGAGAAGCTTGAACCAGTGAAAGTGCAAAACTTCGGTAACTAACTTACAACTGAGTCAGCTTAGTCTAGACAAAGTCTTCCACCACCACACGCTGACATTTAGTTATGAAACATTTCCTAAACAGATGAAAAAACAGAGCAATACACTTCCAGTTCTTGATGATATCTCACTGTTGTTCATATCTAGTTAGTATAAACTTCCTCTGAATGTAATGTCAAGTAATTGTTTCAGCACTAAAGTCCAGTTAAAGTCCCATTTTCAGTCTTACAGATAAAAACGCAAAGTTGTGTTATTTATGTGTCTGTTTCCTTGTGCGGTGGTGGAGTGGATAAAGCGATCAGACAAAGTAATGAAAGCAAATAAGCAGGAAACTACTCAAACAAGGCCTGCAGTGGGGCTTACTCAAACTCCTTGGCTCGTGTCCAAACTTTAGATTTGACAGTTTTTGCGTGGGCGTGATGGGCACCGTGGGATACGAGGCTGAGGGGACAATAAGGAAGATGAATTAGCTGCTAGCAGAGGTCTTCCTCGCCTACCAACCTGGCTGCTTGTGGCTCTTTACCGGCAGTCATCAATCTTTGTCAGCCACCATACAGGAAGTCATTACGCAAGCTGGGATGCCACGGGGCCATCGGGGAATCAAGTTTGCCTTAATTTCGGTCGACCTCTGTTTTTAACCGTCCCAAATCACTTAATGCACTTTGCGGCAGTGGGGACTTGGTCAGAAGTTCTTTTCCTTTCTGTGATTATGGATGGGAGGGGAGGTCCTTTTTAAAGGCAGCTATAGCGAGCCCCCCATAGGGCTGGGTTTAATGCGGGCTCTGGGTAGCAGGTGGAGAGAGCCGCTGCCAGTTTCCCTTGCAGAGTGGGGAAATTGCCTGTACTGCTGTGAAACTGTAGAGCTCTGGACAGCGGCCATGTTTAGGCTGGAGGCGTGCTGTTTTAAGCTTTTAATACCGCACTGCTCTTGACTAGATAGAAGAGTGCCCTGAAGCCATTCAGCTCTTTCTGCTGTTTTCGACAGTTGTGGACATTACAGTTTTGGACAGAACATATTGTCTCCATTTAATATATTTACATTTAGTTGAAACTTGGGTTAGGACAGCCGAGGTTCCTTTTTGTTTTGTTGTTTCTTTTTCAAAAAAACTGCCCTAAACGGCAAAATATTAAGTTGGCGCATTCACAGAACTGCCATCTGCAGCAGACACAAAGTTTGATTAAAGCATCTAATGAGGCCTCAGCAGCTATTGTAGTTTCTAATTTTGTGTATTTGTCCAGGGGAAGTTCTACCTGCTGATTGAGGACCTGAGCCAGCTGTTTCGGGCCCTGGTGCCCATCCAGCTGTGGTACAAGTACATCATGGGAGAAGACCCCTCTAACAGTTACTTCCTGGGAGCCACACTCATCATCATCTACACCCTCTGCAAGGTAATAACACTGTGCTAGCATAATATGAAGTCTACAAGCACCCATTAATAAGAACTGCACAGGTCAGCGTCCACATTCTCTGAAAACAGTTGGAAGAAATATTACTTTCAAGAGAAACAAAAAATAATAAAAACTGAATCGTGCGACTGAAAAGTTTAAAGGAGCTATTTGTGAGAACTGCTTTTGCTACATAGCTAGCATTAGCATTAACAGCTGTTTACTAACCAGTCTAGAAGAAACGTTTTGAGTTCAGCATCAAACTTCGTTCCTTTACTCACCAAGAGCTGTCTCCACACACACCTCTCTAACACTGACATTGGAGGGTGGGTTTGTATGACAATCAGACATTCATGCTGTGATAGGTCAGGTGTGTGGAAGTCAGAAAGGAACCTGGTTTTGAACTTCCCTTCCAAGCTCTCTCTTTTTTTTTTTTTTAATTATTAACACATTCATTCCTCTCATTTCATGTGTGTACAACTGAATGTAACACTGTGAATGCCTTTCAGGACAGGCTGTCTAAAAATGTTCTGTGTTCCCCATATTCAGATGATAATGCATCCAGTCTGTGAAGGCAGAAATTTCACCCTGCCTTCAAGTGCTGCTGTTCAGAGCAGCATCAAGTATTTTGCCTTCCAATGTGGTCAGAAGTGTTGCTAGTTGGGTCCAGAAAATGGAAATAGTTCATTTGGGATGCAGGAAGGGTTGCATTTAATACAACGGCAGTCCCATCAGATTTAGGTATTTCTTGTGTAGTCAAGTAGATTTTGTTTTTTGCATGATAGTAACGGAGGAAAAGTCAGGTGGGTCATCAAAACATTTGAGTCCTCATAAGTATTGGTCAGAGGGAAATTTTGGTACAAGAGTGCAGCTAGATAAAAGTGAGGTGATCAGAAGAATCATTAGGAATCATTCTCTGGGGAACATTTATAAACTCAATTGTCTTATTATTGGTCTTCCCAATAAATCTGAAAATAAATACAACTGCATCTTATATAAAAACAATTCTGGGTAAAGATGGGTTGAGTTGTTCTGGGAAAAAACGTACAACCCACATATTGCATTCTTCACAGGAATTAGTAATTCGTTTCCTGGGTTGGAAAGAAATTTGGGCTTGGATTACTTTTAAACACAGTACGTTGTAGGGTGTCAAATGAGCAGTGATACTTTTAAAATAAGAATAAATGTCAAAATTACAAATCACCTTGACTAAGGGACGTGTGGAAGGAGGGGGACAGGAAGGGGACAGGAAACCCACAGTTGGGGTCACAGCAAAGTCACATACTGATCGGTTACATAAATTTTAACTTAAAAAAACTTCTGGAAAAAAAACCCCTAGACATACAGTATGAGTCAGTTTTGAGTCTGTCACGATATCGTATGGGAAGCTGAAATAGTGAAACTAAGTGGAACTTGGCTGAATGAATCTCTGACTGTTGCAATGGCATGTTATTTTCTCTTTGACGTCATCACTGTCATGCATTCTGTTATGTGTGTTGACAATTGTAGTGTCTTGTAGCTTCTTTTAATAAAAAAGTGACTCACCGGATGTAGTTGTGGATGATGAAATTGTTCAGCTGAACTGGCTGAACAGTTTCCTGGGTGTGAGTGCTGAGGTGCAGCACTTGCGTGTTTTCCACGATGGCCATAGGTCACACTGGTCAGTGGTTGATTCACTGTTGTCCCGTCTTGTGTCACACTGGGCAACAGATAAATAAAGTTTAGGGAAATGGACTTTGTGATGGCTTCAGTTTTACTTTGGTGATCCCCTGACTTTTCATCTAACCCCATGATCATGTCTAAAGTGTCTAATACACACCTGCAAAACCAAGGACATTCCCATCAGCCTCAGCTGCACATGTTAGCATACTAAACTGAGACGGTGAACATGGGTAACATTATATCTGTTATACTTGGTATGTTATGATTTGCAGTGTGAACATGCTAGGATACTGACAGTAGCTTTTTGCTCAAAGCACCATTGGGCGTCAGCACAACCTCACAGAGCAGCTAGCACAGCTGTAGACTCCTTAATCCTGTTCTCATAAAGACTTTATTCTTTATTGTTTTGCAGTCCTTTGACATCTGTGGACGTGTATCTGCCATATGCAAGGCCATGGTCATCCTTTGCAGCTCCCAGGTCAGATTCAGACTAATTTTACACACACACACAAACGTATGCACAATTTGCATTTTTGCATCGAGAGTTCAGAATAAATCTAGAAGAGTTTAATCCTCCAACTGCCTCTCCCTGTAATTTCACCCAGAGTTATGGAGTGAGGGCCGGCAGCCAGCAGTGCAGCGAGGCGGGCGACATCTGTGCTATTTGTCAGGCAGACTTCAGAGATCCCATAGCCCTCCTTTGTCAGGTAAGGACTCAGTTAACTAGTAGGGTGAGGTTACAAATTTAAAGAGGAACTAGGCTGAAAAGTAGCGTTTTTCTGTTGAACCTCTGACCACATCCAGCATCACTGATGGGTGTGTTTAGGTGTGGTCAGAAGGGTGATGTGTTGCACTTGTGCACCTGTTGCACTTCTGCCGTAATTTACACTTCACAGTGATGTCACGGTGTAGTGACACACCCTGAAGTAAATTTAGGGTCACTGCAGCAAGGTGAGAAGTTAATCCACTGGAAAATAGTAAAAAGTATTTTCAAGTTCCTCTTTAGGTTCTTGAAATGAGAAAGAAACCACCTGTTTAAGCAACAGTTTACTTGTGTTTTCCTTTGCATACTCCCATGGTTATCATTTGATGACATATAAGTGGTCCTTGAAGGGAGGTCAGAGGTCAGTATCAGCTACTGAACAGTGCTTGCGGATCTTTAATTGTCTCTGATGTTCATACTCAGTCATTTCAGTAAATCTAAGCCTTGAATGCCAAATGCAAGAATTCTTTGCCACATTTTTTCTTCTTTGTCGAGAAAATGAAACATGTGCCTCTACACTGTGTTCTGCAGCACGTGTTCTGTGAGGAGTGCCTGTGTTTGTGGTTCGACCGGGAGAGAACGTGTCCGCTGTGTCGCTCGACTGTCATTGAGACCCTGCGATGCTGGAAGGACGGCACCACCTCAGCTCACTTCCAGATCTATTAAGCTATGACAGCGTATATCGTATACACACACAAAAGTGCATTTGTGCTGTAATGCAAGTGAGACAATGGTGTGTCATATTTCTTTGTTTATCTTAGTGAAGTAATTCTTTAAACCAGGTTTAAGCATAATTGCAGTAACACACATTTGTAGGGGGCTTTTGATTTTAGAGGAATTTTGAAAATACCAGAATAATCAAATTATTAAGTGGAGCATGTGAAGCTGGTGGTAGCAGCCATGGGCATAGACATGAAGCTGCACTATTGTCTGTTTTACAGTTGGACTGTTGTCATACAGCAATAGTCCCAATTATTTTGTACATGTTGACTTAGACACTGTTGTAAACTGTGAACATTTATTTTACACTAGACATTATAAAAGAATGTTGCTTTAATTTAATGTGGTGGTAATGTAAATAGTCACAGCATTTCACACTTCTTCTGTATTCTTTATGGTTTGGCATTTCTGTATAGTGTCTGTTATTACTCATTTACAAAATACTACAATATACTTAATTTTTGTTTGGTATTTAGTTTAAAAGTTTGCAATGCTTATTTTTAATCAAGCAAAATGAAATGTCTCACAGAATGGATTGTAGGTAGAAAATCACTTCAAACATTTGTTCTTGGTGAGCAAACAATTGGGTTATTTAGATACTGAATTGAATGGTGTGTGACTTTGAATTATCTGGACTGTAACATGACATAGCATAATTGTTTGTGGTGCCATCCTCGCACCATAATCTTAACATTTCGATGCAGAAGGTGTGGTGCAGATGATAAGGTCAGTAGTATGTGACTTTCTTCTTTCTTTTCAGACATGAGTTGGAGCTCTCTGTAAGTATTGTTAATATGAGTAATTTCCTCTAGAAGAATTCATTGTTGGGTTGCATAATGTCAAGAGGTTTTCAGTTTTTAATGAAAGCACTTTATCCCACTATATCAAGTATTTGTTGTCTAATTGTAGTGACACCTTCAGAGAATTTGTTTTAGAAAGATTTTTATTATTTTAACTGCTAAAAATCCATAAGAAATATTTAGGAAGTATAAATAGCAAACACTTTATAAAAGACAGTTAATGTAATTCTGCTCACATTACACGTTATATGAGAGAAAGCTTATTTCCATAAATCACAGACAGCATTAACAGCATAGGTTCCTATGCACAGGTCCTGTATCTTGTTCATGATAAAAAAAGCCACTTAACACTGCCCCCAACAGATAATGCTAAAGCACAGGAGAATGTATCTAAACACTGTAGAAAACATCTATAAAAACACCCATCCTCTCATTTACATGTTTGTTCTTACAGAATAGCTTATTTAAAAAAAAAAAAAAATATTATGAAGCTCAGAAACAGGTGTATTTCGGTGCATCTTTCAGGATTGCTACACTAATTTTAGCCTAGATGCATTTGAAGGTCTAACCAGTTTAAACCCTTTGTCATTAATGCACTCATACACCGTGGGAGGTGAACATTCAGAGCCGTCCTATTAGTTAGCTTTCCCCTCCGCTCTACCAGGGGAGGATGACATCACTGTTTTGAAACTGGGATGACAGAATCGGAGAGTCACGCAGGGGCAGGACGTGCAACTGACTGACTGCAGGGCTGCTAGGGGTTCAGTGTGTCAGCTCGTTCTGAAGCTCCTGTAGTGCATCCACATCGGGCGTGAGAAAGTCTTCGTGGAGTTAAGTCAGACACAAACTTCCGACCTTCAAACACACATTTAACCCCGCTTCCTCCTCCTTCCCCTCCTCCGCCGGTCTTTCTGCACAGCTTTTCCTGGACCGCATCCTCCGACTCTCCCGCATCCCCTTAGTGCAAATGATGTGAGCCCGTTCCTCGTGCGTGGTCCTAAACAGATACAATACAAGCACTTAATTGAAAGAAAATCCGTAAAACAAATGTTTGTAAAGTTAAATCCGTAACGCTGTAAACGACAGCATTAATTTCATGTTATTACTGTGCATTGTGCATGTTCTGAACATAGATATTTTTTAATGCTTTCAACCAGGAAAATGCAAAACCTTTTCCCAACAGAAATCTGAAATTTCAGCAATTACTAGAAAAACATACAAATCTGGGATATTTTATGATATATAGTGCACTGATTATAAAACAAATGAGTAACGAATGAACCTCTACTTTGCCAATTTAAAACATTAATTATAAGCTACTTAGGAGACATTCCTTAAATATAAATAGTAATAAACCCACCCAAAACCTAGTTTGCTCTAGGCTTACTTGATGTGCATATTGACCTATAACCTGACCCAGTGTTTTGTTTGGAGCTAAATTTAACATTTCTATATCAAACCGGTGTATGCTGCATGTTTTTGAAGAACTAAATCAAATTTTGGTACTGGCACTGTACTGATGCAGTGGTACTGGCTTGATGGAAATATTTCCCCAACTTTTAAGAGGATGTAAAGAACATTTTGTCAGTTTTTCAAAAAACCTGAAAAAACAAATTTCCTAAATTTGCAGAGTAGCGCTGAAGGGAAAAACTTCTGTAGGCTACGGCTAACAAATTCGCCCAAAATGTACACTTTGTATTAACTTAACTTCGTGCAGCAGGTGATTAACATTATTTTAATTCATGAAAGTGTTAACACGTAACACGTAAATTAACGTTTTCACCGAAAATGTTACAGATATTTGTTCATACAACTCTTCTCCATAATGTCTGGAGGTCGTGGTTTACTCAAAATCCAGGTGACGTGTTATTAACTCACCTGTTGCTGGTGTTGTCGCCTCGCGCCCTACAGATGTCGCCTCGCGACGAACAGCACGAGCACGGTGAGGTGTAATGCAGTGCACAGGAAGCTCTTCAGGTGGCCTCGCCCGGCTACAGCCACCGCTCCTCTGTCCCCGCAGCTGTAGCCGCCGTCTGTCTCCCCGGCCGTCCAGCCCTTCTCCAGCTGGTCCCCGATCCTCCGCAGGCGCGACGCTAGCAGCTGAGCCACTGAGCACGGTGAGGGTCTGCGGGCACTGCAGGTGGAGTCACCGGGCAGGAGCAGAGGCTGGTCTATCGGCAGCCAGCACATCTTCTCAGACAGAGCAACAACTCTTCTCTCTTTAAGTCTTAGAAATATATTGCCCTCCTTCTCCTCTCTCATCAAACCTTAACTGTGTTTGTATCCCCCCCCCTTTCTCTCCCTTTCTCCCTCTCTCCTTACTGTATTATTCATTACAGTGTCACATGATGTGGGGTTTACATCATCTTTTCCCAAAAGAGCGATGCAATGGTTAACTCTTGAATCACACTTTGTCTGGTTTTATCTTTTGTTACATGGTGTTCTTGGACATTGTGTTCTCGTTTCTTACTTTTTTGCTGTAAAAGGTGCGTTTTTTTTAAATTATTTTCCAATATGACCACCCCACCGGCTTAAAATGTGAAATATATGTATTTATTTGGCCACAAAAACACATATCAACAATTGACAATTGCCGCGTCTATAATAAAACTGCGGAATAGAAAAAACGCGGAACTTGTAGCACAGCACCTTGTCTCGCATCGGACTGTTTATGCAGAAACACATGGGTTTATTTTTCGGGAGTGCAGGGCCATGGCTCTCTTTACCTGACCTGTGTAACTTATAAACTTCTACGACACAGCTTTATATCTGTGTAAAGGTGTGTTTTGTCAACGATGATTGAGAAATATGGCCGATGACGAGCTCGATGCGTTCAGGGAGAGTTGGAAACGAGAGTTAACGTGTAAAAAAGATGAGCAGCGACCTGCCGGTGCTGCTCCCCCTTCCTGGGATGTTCCTGGTCAATCAGGCCCGAGAGACTCGAAAAATAGGTATTTTGAAGACTTGAAAAATCTAACCAAAGCCTGTAGTCCTTTAAAAGCAGAAGAGGATGGCTGCACTGAGGATGAAGGATGTGCAGGTGTAGAGGGAGGAAAAGCTGCAGAAGAGACGGAGGATCAGCCTGAGTATGTGTCCATTGCACGTAGTTTGCTGGATGGGAGGACCAGTCCCCTGTTGGACAGGATTCAGGAGGAGAGAACAAGGAGAAAGAGGCAGTATCACAACAGGACAAATGACTGCAGCACATCCCTGCAGCAGCAACTACAGCCTCAGAGAAAGGTCAAGAGAGACAAGGAGTTGGTGGATCAACTCATTCAGGATCTGGTATGAGGAGGATGATGGTGGTGATGATGATGATGGTGGTTGACCAGAATCAGCTTAGTGTATAATGTCTACTGCAATTTTGTCTTTTTTGCAGAATGAAGTCAATGACATTCCCTTCTTTGATATCGAGTTGCCGTACGAGTTAGCCCTGAAGATCTTCCAGTATCTCGACTGCACTGAGCTGGGCCGATGTGCACAGGTAGGCTGCCATTGTCAAACTATTCCTGGCAAGAATGTATGTGTGTATAATGATATTCTGATGATAGGGATGGATAAAAACAAGTCCTTGCCACCACAGGTTTAAATCAGCTTCTTTGGACCAGATCCCATAGAGGTATCGAGATGAATCTGAGGGCTTGTGACACTGATTTGGGTATGGTTTTATGGGACTCGGCCTACAGCTTGGGAGACCTGGAGCCAGAGTTTTCAACTAGACACTGACAAAAGATCTTTTTCTGCAGATGAAACAACAAATTAGAATTAATAAGAAGCAACTAACTTTAACTCTAACTTTAACTTTTTTTGTCTCGTCCCATTTGGTTTGTGTAACATGATCACACTGTGCGCACCTTGCTGATATCTTGTTTTAGCATTCTTGGTAGTGTGGTGGTTTTTTCGTGGAACTCAGCAAACTTCAGGTTTTAAAGCTGCACCTCTTACAACTAAACCAGGTCCCCAGTCTGACAGTTTGAGATACCACAGAAACCCTCTAAATAGGTGAATTAAAATCATCCATAGACAAGGATTCATTTAGCACACAGAGATTCTGAGAATTCAAGTCAAGCAAATATCCTACATAAAAAAAATCACCCCCAGACAGAGGAAAAACGATCCTTATATGCTAACATGTGGAGGGGTACATCCGTGGGACTGTTGCTAGGGCCATCTGGTTTCAGTACAAAGAAGGATTATATTTTTAATTTATATATTTTGCTCAGTCTCCTCCGCTCCCTTCCTGAGCCACACCAGGTCGCGATGACCTAGACAAGACGTTGTTACTAAACTGAGAGGTCAGGCGTCGTAGTATTATGTCTTTCAAATCCTCGCTCATCCTGATGCACTTATGGTATCTCAGGAAAGTCACCTGCTTATTACATAACTTGGTTTTAAAGAATTCAAGCAAACTTGAACAAACGTTACCTTTGGTGAGTACATTGCTTAGCCGTCACCAGAAGGCCTGAGCGTCCTCTGGCGTCTGAGGTTTTAGACCTCAGCTGGCACCGGCACAGATCAGCCGTTGCTAGAGATGAAACCCCCTTATGCCGCATCTGCTTCGTCATCAGCTGTCACATAATTGTCATTGTGGAACTTACATATGCTCGAGTGATTTTTCTTCTTTTCTATACACACTGTGTATTATGAATATATTATGAGTAAGCATTATGGGTGATAACATATCCCTCTCTCCCACCTGCCAACTAAGGATATCGCAGTGTGTGAGCGTGTCCAGATGCACATTAGCCACAATGTCTAACCATGTTGTAAGAACTCAGATTTACTATCCCCCCGGTATTGTTAGGTTTCCACTTAGTTTCCTGTTTCCTCAAAGGTTTTCCCATTTTTTTCACACTTACAGACCCCTTCCTCAGTTGGGCTAGTTGGGGGCATCAAAAAAACATACATGATATGACACATTGAGTATGAGGTTGTATAGTTACACAGCTGCTATTGATACAGAATACAATGAACATCAGAGTATATATATAATTTCTCAGCAGAAGCCATTTACAACCAATGCATGTGACTTAATTTGGTATAGATGAATAAATTACATTCTGTGCGACAGATCTACAGCATTTGGCAGCTTGCCGGGCTCGTAGAGCACAAACAAATGCAGTGATGCAAGCTTGTAATGTATGCTGACTCAATCCACGGTTACACTGTCCAATGTCCCTCCCAGGTGAGCCGGGCATGGAGAGTTCTTGCAGAGGACAGTGTGCTGTGGTTCAAGATGTGCACGAGGGAGGGTTATCACCAGGATGCCAGTGTGTCCGACTCCCCCTGCTGGAAGAGCACGCTGCGAGACTGCAGGAACTCGGCCAAAACTGTGAGCTCCAACTGGAAGGTAGGCTTGAGGTGTTCGAGTCCAGTGAGACCGTCGCTTTATTACCCAAATGCAATACCTTCCCAGAATTGTGTCTGCTCATATTAGTGCATAATTCACCTCACATCAACCACACGGTAGAGTAGAATTGAAGGTGCACCGTGGATTGAACTGGATGTATCTGTGGTTCTCGGTGTGATACAACACAATACAATACAATAAACAAAAAATGGGATTTTAACATAATGGCAGGCAATGATGGGAAAGTTCTCTTCTGGGTTTAATTGGAAAAGGAGAAAATAACAATAATAAAAGTGACAAACAGTTAAATTAGAGTTTAAATTACAAATATTACCATAATGTCTTTACAATATATTGGACAAAGTTTTCAGCTAAGTAATATTTCTTGTCTAGAATCGAGTGGGATCCATCAGCCAGCTGCAGTTCGAGCTGGGGAAAGTGCTGTGTGACGTCAGCTCCTGTGACAACTTTGTCTTGGCCGGGTGAGTTTTAGGTCACTTCTTACATCAGATGTGTTTTAATGATAACTGAAACTTTTTTCTGCTCATGTACTCTAAATGAATCTGCCTTGTTTTCTGTGTCACTCTTTATAATCCCACGTAAATATTGGCATGTGAAGATCCCTTGGTTATAAATCTTCTGATTTATGACTGGGAATCTTATCTAACAGCAAAGGATGAAATGACACAGAGAGATCATGGCTCAGTGTCATACGTTACATTTTAAATAAAGATGGAAAGATGTTTTCCAGTTGTAACTATTTTTTGTATTTTACTTATAGATTTTTGTGCAAAGTGTAGAGTATTAATACCTTCAATGAAAAAAGTAATGCATATATTTGAGATATGAGTCACATATAAGCAACCTGAATAACAAAGAATGTTAGGATAGTGCAGCATTTGTGAACATGGCCGGAGTAACAGTTTACTTGGTTACTAACCCTAATTTAAACATCCTCATATGAACTGATTTCAGATTCTGGGGACAGTTTTAAGGCTGTAAGTAAATGGCAACATTTTTAGGCAGCAGTTGAGGCATGTGACGGTTCACAGTGGTAAAGAAATGACAGCTGCAACCTCCAGCATTGACAAAATTTACCTGAGCTCGTGGTCCAGGCCATGGTTATCTCTCTCTCTCTCTAGGTCATCTTATTGCCTTGACTACTACAATGCCCCTCTGGGCAATGCCCCTTCATGCACAGTGAAACCTTTGCAGATGGTCCAGAATGCAGCAGCCCATCTGGTCCTCGTTTAGCGCAAAAAGGTCACATGTCACTCTGCCACTCATCGACCTACACTGGCTACCCGTGGCCCGCCCGAATCAAATTCAAGTCACTAATGCTGCCGTCAGAGTGACTTCTGGTTCTGCTCCCATCTACTTGAACTCAGTCACGCCGCCTTATGCTCCTTCTTGGCTGCTGCGTTCCTCCAAGGAATGTCGTCTGTCATTGCCATCCCTGCACACAAGACAGTCTCAGTCCAGACTGTTCTCGTCTGTGGTTCACCGATGGTGGAACAAGCTACTGAACGCTATCAGAGCAGGGGCGTCCATGTCTATCTTCAAGGATCTCTTGAAGACTCGTCTCTTCTGAGAACACCTCCTCTCCTAACACCTCTAACACCTGTCTAACTAGCACTTACTATGCAATTTGGGTGCTCTTCTTTACCTGATCTCCTTGAACTTACTGAATAGATGTAGTACTTAGTCCTGACACCAAGGTCTCCTTAAAAGCCAAATGAGTAAATATAAATGTAAATGTAATTTCAGCTCATTGATGCATATTTTTACACTCCTACTAATGGCGGTAGTTAGTGAAGAGTCCATGAAGAGCAGCTTAACTAAACTAAACCTGCTCTGAAATAACCAAAAGCTGTGGCAGTGATAGATTGTCTGGGCCCACAGGAGCCTGATAGACTGCCCACGAGGAGATGTGCAGCATCTCCAGGGAGTGATGTGATTAGATTCCCATTAGTCCTGCTGTGTCTCATTGGAGATTGTTTGTATATTTTCAGGTTAGGGCACATGTAGGAGACACACTGTACAAAAACAGTCTCCACAAAAGAAAACTGCTTTTTCAAAATGTGAATATACTCTTAAATTCTTTTTCTTGATATTGTAGCTGTTAACAAATTCACAACATCAATACTTTACCCATTATTGGTGCTTAAAGGGTAATTCAGCTAAGTGAAAGTACTTGAATTTTTTTAACTAGAAAATAATCAATAGCAGTTAAGAGTAATCGAGAGTGATTCAATTGCATCCACAAAATCTTATTAGAAAATCACTAGAATGAGATTTGGCACTTAGAAGGCAACATGAGTCTCATTAATCCAACGACTCCTGGACACACACGGTGTCATAAAGGTCTGTCGAGGCTTCTGTGAAGACTGCAGTGATCTGTGCACAAAGTTTCCTGCGCATAAAAGTTTTGAAATCACTTGGATTCAGCATCATCGTCCTGTTGCTAGTTGGCCTTGAGGTGATGTACTAATTAAGTGAAAGTGCGTATTCCTATTGTTTACTTCCTGCCAAACCCCTGCGATGCCAATCTCTCTCACACACACACACACACACACACACACACACACACACACACACACACACACACANAGCTAGATAAAAGTGAGGTGATCAGAAGAATCATTAGGAATCATTCTCTGGGGAACATTTATAAACTCAATTGTCTTATTATTGGTCTTCCCAATAAATCTGAAAATAAATACAACTGCATCTTATATAAAAACAATTCTGGGTAAAGATGGGTTGAGTTGTTCTGGGAAAAAACGTACAACCCACATATTGCATTCTTCACAGGAATTAGTAATTCGTTTCCTGGGTTGGAAAGAAATTTGGGCTTGGATTACTTTTAAACACAGTACGTTGTAGGGTGTCAAATGAGCAGTGATACTTTTAAAATAAGAATAAATGTCAAAATTACAAATCACCTTGACTAAGGGACGTGTGGAAGGAGGGGGACAGGAAGGGGACAGGAAACCCACAGTTGGGGTCACAGCAAAGTCACATACTGATCGGTTACATAAATTTTAACTTAAAAAAACTTCTGGAAAAAAAACCCCTAGACATACAGTATGAGTCAGTTTTGAGTCTGTCACGATATCGTATGGGAAGCTGAAATAGTGAAACTAAGTGGAACTTGGCTGAATGAATCTCTGACTGTTGCAATGGCATGTTATTTTCTCTTTGACGTCATCACTGTCATGCATTCTGTTATGTGTGTTGACAATTGTAGTGTCTTGTAGCTTCTTTTAATAAAAAAGTGACTCACCGGATGTAGTTGTGGATGATGAAATTGTTCAGCTGAACTGGCTGAACAGTTTCCTGGGTGTGAGTGCTGAGGTGCAGCACTTGCGTGTTTTCCACGATGGCCATAGGTCACACTGGTCAGTGGTTGATTCACTGTTGTCCCGTCTTGTGTCACACTGGGCAACAGATAAATAAAGTTTAGGGAAATGGACTTTGTGATGGCTTCAGTTTTACTTTGGTGATCCCCTGACTTTTCATCTAACCCCATGATCATGTCTAAAGTGTCTAATACACACCTGCAAAACCAAGGACATTCCCATCAGCCTCAGCTGCACATGTTAGCATACTAAACTGAGACGGTGAACATGGGTAACATTATATCTGTTATACTTGGTATGTTATGATTTGCAGTGTGAACATGCTAGGATACTGACAGTAGCTTTTTGCTCAAAGCACCATTGGGCGTCAGCACAACCTCACAGAGCAGCTAGCACAGCTGTAGACTCCTTAATCCTGTTCTCATAAAGACTTTATTCTTTATTGTTTTGCAGTCCTTTGACATCTGTGGACGTGTATCTGCCATATGCAAGGCCATGGTCATCCTTTGCAGCTCCCAGGTCAGATTCAGACTAATTTTACACACACACACAAACGTATGCACAATTTGCATTTTTGCATCGAGAGTTCAGAATAAATCTAGAAGAGTTTAATCCTCCAACTGCCTCTCCCTGTAATTTCACCCAGAGTTATGGAGTGAGGGCCGGCAGCCAGCAGTGCAGCGAGGCGGGCGACATCTGTGCTATTTGTCAGGCAGACTTCAGAGATCCCATAGCCCTCCTTTGTCAGGTAAGGACTCAGTTAACTAGTAGGGTGAGGTTACAAATTTAAAGAGGAACTAGGCTGAAAAGTAGCGTTTTTCTGTTGAACCTCTGACCACATCCAGCATCACTGATGGGTGTGTTTAGGTGTGGTCAGAAGGGTGATGTGTTGCACTTGTGCACCTGTTGCACTTCTGCCGTAATTTACACTTCACAGTGATGTCACGGTGTAGTGACACACCCTGAAGTAAATTTAGGGTCACTGCAGCAAGGTGAGAAGTTAATCCACTGGAAAATAGTAAAAAGTATTTTCAAGTTCCTCTTTAGGTTCTTGAAATGAGAAAGAAACCACCTGTTTAAGCAACAGTTTACTTGTGTTTTCCTTTGCATACTCCCATGGTTATCATTTGATGACATATAAGTGGTCCTTGAAGGGAGGTCAGAGGTCAGTATCAGCTACTGAACAGTGCTTGCGGATCTTTAATTGTCTCTGATGTTCATACTCAGTCATTTCAGTAAATCTAAGCCTTGAATGCCAAATGCAAGAATTCTTTGCCACATTTTTTCTTCTTTGTCGAGAAAATGAAACATGTGCCTCTACACTGTGTTCTGCAGCACGTGTTCTGTGAGGAGTGCCTGTGTTTGTGGTTCGACCGGGAGAGAACGTGTCCGCTGTGTCGCTCGACTGTCATTGAGACCCTGCGATGCTGGAAGGACGGCACCACCTCAGCTCACTTCCAGATCTATTAAGCTATGACAGCGTATATCGTATACACACACAAAAGTGCATTTGTGCTGTAATGCAAGTGAGACAATGGTGTGTCATATTTCTTTGTTTATCTTAGTGAAGTAATTCTTTAAACCAGGTTTAAGCATAATTGCAGTAACACACATTTGTAGGGGGCTTTTGATTTTAGAGGAATTTTGAAAATACCAGAATAATCAAATTATTAAGTGGAGCATGTGAAGCTGGTGGTAGCAGCCATGGGCATAGACATGAAGCTGCACTATTGTCTGTTTTACAGTTGGACTGTTGTCATACAGCAATAGTCCCAATTATTTTGTACATGTTGACTTAGACACTGTTGTAAACTGTGAACATTTATTTTACACTAGACATTATAAAAGAATGTTGCTTTAATTTAATGTGGTGGTAATGTAAATAGTCACAGCATTTCACACTTCTTCTGTATTCTTTATGGTTTGGCATTTCTGTATAGTGTCTGTTATTACTCATTTACAAAATACTACAATATACTTAATTTTTGTTTGGTATTTAGTTTAAAAGTTTGCAATGCTTATTTTTAATCAAGCAAAATGAAATGTCTCACAGAATGGATTGTAGGTAGAAAATCACTTCAAACATTTGTTCTTGGTGAGCAAACAATTGGGTTATTTAGATACTGAATTGAATGGTGTGTGACTTTGAATTATCTGGACTGTAACATGACATAGCATAATTGTTTGTGGTGCCATCCTCGCACCATAATCTTAACATTTCGATGCAGAAGGTGTGGTGCAGATGATAAGGTCAGTAGTATGTGACTTTCTTCTTTCTTTTCAGACATGAGTTGGAGCTCTCTGTAAGTATTGTTAATATGAGTAATTTCCTCTAGAAGAATTCATTGTTGGGTTGCATAATGTCAAGAGGTTTTCAGTTTTTAATGAAAGCACTTTATCCCACTATATCAAGTATTTGTTGTCTAATTGTAGTGACACCTTCAGAGAATTTGTTTTAGAAAGATTTTTATTATTTTAACTGCTAAAAATCCATAAGAAATATTTAGGAAGTATAAATAGCAAACACTTTATAAAAGACAGTTAATGTAATTCTGCTCACATTACACGTTATATGAGAGAAAGCTTATTTCCATAAATCACAGACAGCATTAACAGCATAGGTTCCTATGCACAGGTCCTGTATCTTGTTCATGATAAAAAAAGCCACTTAACACTGCCCCCAACAGATAATGCTAAAGCACAGGAGAATGTATCTAAACACTGTAGAAAACATCTATAAAAACACCCATCCTCTCATTTACATGTTTGTTCTTACAGAATAGCTTATTTAAAAAAAAAAAAAAAAGGTACAGTGTATTATGAAGCTCAGAAACAGGTGTATTTCGGTGCATCTTTCAGGATTGCTACACTAATTTTAGCCTAGATGCATTTGAAGGTCTAACCAGTTTAAACCCTTTGTCATTAATGCACTCATACACCGTGGGAGGTGAACATTCAGAGCCGTCCTATTAGTTAGCTTTCCCCTCCGCTCTACCAGGGGAGGATGACATCACTGTTTTGAAACTGGGATGACAGAATCGGAGAGTCACGCAGGGGCAGGACGTGCAACTGACTGACTGCAGGGCTGCTAGGGGTTCAGTGTGTCAGCTCGTTCTGAAGCTCCTGTAGTGCATCCACATCGGGCGTGAGAAAGTCTTCGTGGAGTTAAGTCAGACACAAACTTCCGACCTTCAAACACACATTTAACCCCGCTTCCTCCTCCTTCCCCTCCTCCGCCGGTCTTTCTGCACAGCTTTTCCTGGACCGCATCCTCCGACTCTCCCGCATCCCCTTAGTGCAAATGATGTGAGCCCGTTCCTCGTGCGTGGTCCTAAACAGATACAATACAAGCACTTAATTGAAAGAAAATCCGTAAAACAAATGTTTGTAAAGTTAAATCCGTAACGCTGTAAACGACAGCATTAATTTCATGTTATTACTGTGCATTGTGCATGTTCTGAACATAGATATTTTTTAATGCTTTCAACCAGGAAAATGCAAAACCTTTTCCCAACAGAAATCTGAAATTTCAGCAATTACTAGAAAAACATACAAATCTGGGATATTTTATGATATATAGTGCACTGATTATAAAACAAATGAGTAACGAATGAACCTCTACTTTGCCAATTTAAAACATTAATTATAAGCTACTTAGGAGACATTCCTTAAATATAAATAGTAATAAACCCACCCAAAACCTAGTTTGCTCTAGGCTTACTTGATGTGCATATTGACCTATAACCTGACCCAGTGTTTTGTTTGGAGCTAAATTTAACATTTCTATATCAAACCGGTGTATGCTGCATGTTTTTGAAGAACTAAATCAAATTTTGGTACTGGCACTGTACTGATGCAGTGGTACTGGCTTGATGGAAATATTTCCCCAACTTTTAAGAGGATGTAAAGAACATTTTGTCAGTTTTTCAAAAAACCTGAAAAAACAAATTTCCTAAATTTGCAGAGTAGCGCTGAAGGGAAAAACTTCTGTAGGCTACGGCTAACAAATTCGCCCAAAATGTACACTTTGTATTAACTTAACTTCGTGCAGCAGGTGATTAACATTATTTTAATTCATGAAAGTGTTAACACGTAACACGTAAATTAACGTTTTCACCGAAAATGTTACAGATATTTGTTCATACAACTCTTCTCCATAATGTCTGGAGGTCGTGGTTTACTCAAAATCCAGGTGACGTGTTATTAACTCACCTGTTGCTGGTGTTGTCGCCTCGCGCCCTACAGATGTCGCCTCGCGACGAACAGCACGAGCACGGTGAGGTGTAATGCAGTGCACAGGAAGCTCTTCAGGTGGCCTCGCCCGGCTACAGCCACCGCTCCTCTGTCCCCGCAGCTGTAGCCGCCGTCTGTCTCCCCGGCCGTCCAGCCCTTCTCCAGCTGGTCCCCGATCCTCCGCAGGCGCGACGCTAGCAGCTGAGCCACTGAGCACGGTGAGGGTCTGCGGGCACTGCAGGTGGAGTCACCGGGCAGGAGCAGAGGCTGGTCTATCGGCAGCCAGCACATCTTCTCAGACAGAGCAACAACTCTTCTCTCTTTAAGTCTTAGAAATATATTGCCCTCCTTCTCCTCTCTCATCAAACCTTAACTGTGTTTGTATCCCCCCCCCTTTCTCTCCCTTTCTCCCTCTCTCCTTACTGTATTATTCATTACAGTGTCACATGATGTGGGGTTTACATCATCTTTTCCCAAAAGAGCGATGCAATGGTTAACTCTTGAATCACACTTTGTCTGGTTTTATCTTTTGTTACATGGTGTTCTTGGACATTGTGTTCTCGTTTCTTACTTTTTTGCTGTAAAAGGTGCGTTTTTTTTAAATTATTTTCCAATATGACCACCCCACCGGCTTAAAATGTGAAATATATGTATTTATTTGGCCACAAAAACACATATCAACAATTGACAATTGCCGCGTCTATAATAAAACTGCGGAATAGAAAAAACGCGGAACTTGTAGCACAGCACCTTGTCTCGCATCGGACTGTTTATGCAGAAACACATGGGTTTATTTTTCGGGAGTGCAGGGCCATGGCTCTCTTTACCTGACCTGTGTAACTTATAAACTTCTACGACACAGCTTTATATCTGTGTAAAGGTGTGTTTTGTCAACGATGATTGAGAAATATGGCCGATGACGAGCTCGATGCGTTCAGGGAGAGTTGGAAACGAGAGTTAACGTGTAAAAAAGATGAGCAGCGACCTGCCGGTGCTGCTCCCCCTTCCTGGGATGTTCCTGGTCAATCAGGCCCGAGAGACTCGAAAAATAGGTATTTTGAAGACTTGAAAAATCTAACCAAAGCCTGTAGTCCTTTAAAAGCAGAAGAGGATGGCTGCACTGAGGATGAAGGATGTGCAGGTGTAGAGGGAGGAAAAGCTGCAGAAGAGACGGAGGATCAGCCTGAGTATGTGTCCATTGCACGTAGTTTGCTGGATGGGAGGACCAGTCCCCTGTTGGACAGGATTCAGGAGGAGAGAACAAGGAGAAAGAGGCAGTATCACAACAGGACAAATGACTGCAGCACATCCCTGCAGCAGCAACTACAGCCTCAGAGAAAGGTCAAGAGAGACAAGGAGTTGGTGGATCAACTCATTCAGGATCTGGTATGAGGAGGATGATGGTGGTGATGATGATGATGGTGGTTGACCAGAATCAGCTTAGTGTATAATGTCTACTGCAATTTTGTCTTTTTTGCAGAATGAAGTCAATGACATTCCCTTCTTTGATATCGAGTTGCCGTACGAGTTAGCCCTGAAGATCTTCCAGTATCTCGACTGCACTGAGCTGGGCCGATGTGCACAGGTAGGCTGCCATTGTCAAACTATTCCTGGCAAGAATGTATGTGTGTATAATGATATTCTGATGATAGGGATGGATAAAAACAAGTCCTTGCCACCACAGGTTTAAATCAGCTTCTTTGGACCAGATCCCATAGAGGTATCGAGATGAATCTGAGGGCTTGTGACACTGATTTGGGTATGGTTTTATGGGACTCGGCCTACAGCTTGGGAGACCTGGAGCCAGAGTTTTCAACTAGACACTGACAAAAGATCTTTTTCTGCAGATGAAACAACAAATTAGAATTAATAAGAAGCAACTAACTTTAACTCTAACTTTAACTTTTTTTGTCTCGTCCCATTTGGTTTGTGTAACATGATCACACTGTGCGCACCTTGCTGATATCTTGTTTTAGCATTCTTGGTAGTGTGGTGGTTTTTTCGTGGAACTCAGCAAACTTCAGGTTTTAAAGCTGCACCTCTTACAACTAAACCAGGTCCCCAGTCTGACAGTTTGAGATACCACAGAAACCCTCTAAATAGGTGAATTAAAATCATCCATAGACAAGGATTCATTTAGCACACAGAGATTCTGAGAATTCAAGTCAAGCAAATATCCTACATAAAAAAAATCACCCCCAGACAGAGGAAAAACGATCCTTATATGCTAACATGTGGAGGGGTACATCCGTGGGACTGTTGCTAGGGCCATCTGGTTTCAGTACAAAGAAGGATTATATTTTTAATTTATATATTTTGCTCAGTCTCCTCCGCTCCCTTCCTGAGCCACACCAGGTCGCGATGACCTAGACAAGACGTTGTTACTAAACTGAGAGGTCAGGCGTCGTAGTATTATGTCTTTCAAATCCTCGCTCATCCTGATGCACTTATGGTATCTCAGGAAAGTCACCTGCTTATTACATAACTTGGTTTTAAAGAATTCAAGCAAACTTGAACAAACGTTACCTTTGGTGAGTACATTGCTTAGCCGTCACCAGAAGGCCTGAGCGTCCTCTGGCGTCTGAGGTTTTAGACCTCAGCTGGCACCGGCACAGATCAGCCGTTGCTAGAGATGAAACCCCCTTATGCCGCATCTGCTTCGTCATCAGCTGTCACATAATTGTCATTTTGGAACTTACATATGCTCGAGTGATTTTTCTTCTTTTCTATACACACTGTGTATTATGAATATATTATGAGTAAGCATTATGGGTGATAACATATCCCTCTCTCCCACCTGCCAACTAAGGATATCGCAGTGTGTGAGCGTGTCCAGATGCACATTAGCCACAATGTCTAACCATGTTGTAAGAACTCAGATTTACTATCCCCCCGGTATTGTTAGGTTTCCACTTAGTTTCCTGTTTCCTCAAAGGTTTTCCCATTTTTTTCACACTTACAGACCCCTTCCTCAGTTGGGCTAGTTGGGGGCATCAAAAAAACATACATGATATGACACATTGAGTATGAGGTTGTATAGTTACACAGCTGCTATTGATACAGAATACAATGAACATCAGAGTATATATATAATTTCTCAGCAGAAGCCATTTACAACCAATGCATGTGACTTAATTTGGTATAGATGAATAAATTACATTCTGCAGATCAGAAGCACAGCACATGGCAGCGGGCTGGGCTCAAACAAACAAATGCAGTGATGCAAGCTTGTAATGTATGCTGACTCAATCCACGGTTACACTGTCCAATGTCCCTCCCAGGTGAGCCGGGCATGGAGAGTTCTTGCAGAGGACAGTGTGCTGTGGTTCAAGATGTGCACGAGGGAGGGTTATCACCAGGATGCCAGTGTGTCCGACTCCCCCTGCTGGAAGAGCACGCTGCGAGACTGCAGGAACTCGGCCAAAACTGTGAGCTCCAACTGGAAGGTAGGCTTGAGGTGTTCGAGTCCAGTGAGACCGTCGCTTTATTACCCAAATGCAATACCTTCCCAGAATTGTGTCTGCTCATATTAGTGCATAATTCACCTCACATCAACCACACGGTAGAGTAGAATTGAAGGTGCACCGTGGATTGAACTGGATGTATCTGTGGTTCTCGGTGTGATACAACACAATACAATACAATAAACAAAAAATGGGATTTTAACATAATGGCAGGCAATGATGGGAAAGTTCTCTTCTGGGTTTAATTGGAAAAGGAGAAAATAACAATAATAAAAGTGACAAACAGTTAAATTAGAGTTTAAATTACAAATATTACCATAATGTCTTTACAATATATTGGACAAAGTTTTCAGCTAAGTAATATTTCTTGTTTAGAATCGAGTGGGATCCATCAGCCAGCTGCAGTTCGAGCTGGGGAAGGTGCTGTGTGACGTCAGTTCCTGTGACAACTTTGTCTTGGCCGGGTGAGTTTTAGGTCACTTCTTACATCAGATGTGTTTTAATGATAACTGAAACTTTTTTCTGCTCATGTACTCTAAATGAATCTGCCTTGTTTTCTGTGTCACTCTTTATAATCCCACGTAAATATCGGCATGTGAAGATCCCTTGGTTATAAATCTTCTGATTTGTGACTGGGAGTCTTATCTAACAGCAAAGGATGAGATGACACAGAGAGATCATGGCTCAGTGCCATACGTTACATTTTAAATAAAGATGGAAAGATGTTTTCCAGTTGTAACTATTTTTTGTATTTTACTTATAGATTTTTGTGCAAAGTGTAGAGTATTAATAAGTAGTAAGTAATGCATATATTTGAGATATGAGTCACATATAAGCAACCTGAATAACAAAGAATGTTAGGATAGTGCAGCATTTGTGAACATGGCCAGAGTAACAGTTTACTTGGTTACTAACCCTAATTTAAACATCCTCATATGAACTGATTTCAGATTCTGGGGACAGTTTTAAGGCTGTAAGTAAATGGCAACATTTTTAGGCAGCAGTTGAGGCATGTGACGGTTCACAGTGGTAAAGAAATGACAGCTGCAACCTCCAGCATTGACAAAATTTACCTGAGCTCGTGGTCCAGGCCATGGTTATCTCTCTCTCTCTCTAGGTCATCTTATTGCCTTGACTACTACAATGCCCCTCTGGGCAATGCCCCTTCATGCACAGTGAAACCTTTGCAGATGGTCCAGAATGCAGCAGCCCATCTGGTCCTCGTTTAGCGCAAAAAGGTCACATGTCACTCTGCTACTCATCGACCTACACTGGCTACCTGTGGCCCGCCCGAATCAAATTCAAGTCACTAATGCTGCCGTCAGAGTGACTTCTGGTTCTGCTCCCATCTACTTGAACTCAGTCACGCCGCCTTATGCTCCTTCTTGGCTGCTGCGTTCCTCCAAGGAATGTCGTCTGTCATTGCCATCCCTGCACACAAGACAGTCTCAGTCCAGACTGTTCTCGTCTGTGGTTCACCGATGGTGGAACAAGCTACTGAACGCTATCAGAGCAGGGGCGTCCATGTCTATCTTCAAGGATCTCTTGAAGACTCGTCTCTTCTGAGAACACCTCCTCTCCTAACACCTCTAACACCTGTCTAACTAGCACTTACTATGCAATTTGGGTGCTCTTCTTTACCTGATCTCCTTGAACTTACTGAATAGATGTAGTACTTAGTCCTGACACCAAGGTCTCCTTAAAAGCCAAATGAGTAAATATAAATGTAAATGTAATTTCAGCTCATTGATGCATATTTTTACACTCCTACTAATGGCGGTAGTTAGTGAAGAGTCCATGAAGAGCAGCTTAACTAAACTAAACCTGCTCTGAAATAACCAAAAGCTGTGGCAGTGATAGATTGTCTGGGCCCACAGGAGCCTGATAGACTGCCCACGAGGAGATGTGCAGCATCTCCAGGGAGTGATGTGATTAGATTCCCATTAGTCCTGCTGTGTCTCATTGGAGATTGTTTGTATATTTTCAGGTTAGGGCACATGTAGGAGACACACTGTACAAAAACAGTCTCCACAAAAGAAAACTGCTTTTTCAAAATGTGAATATACTCTTAAATTCTTTTTCTTGATATTGTAGCTGTTAACAAATTCACAACATCAATACTTTACCCATTATTGGTGCTTAAAGGGTAATTCAGCTAAGTGAAAGTACTTGAATTTTTTTAACTAGAAAATAATCAATAGCAGTTAAGAGTAATCGAGAGTGATTCAATTGCATCCACAAAATCTTATTAGAAAATCACTAGAATGAGATTTGGCACTTAGAAGGCAACATGAGTCTCATTAATCCAACGACTCCTGGACACACACGGTGTCATAAAGGTCTGTCGAGGCTTCTGTGAAGACTGCAGTGATCTGTGCACAAAGTTTCCTGCGCATAAAAGTTTTGAAATCACTTGGATTCAGCATCATCGTCCTGTTGCTAGTTGGCCTTGAGGTGATGTACTAATTAAGTGAAAGTGCGTATTCCTATTGTTTACTTCCTGCCAAACCCCTGCGATGCCAATCTCTCTCACACACACACACACACACACACACACACACACACACACACACACACACACACACATGCACACACACACATTTACACCCTCTGTCACACACTCTGTCACTGTGTCACACACGCTGGCTGTGAGGCGGATACTTGCTCAGACGCGATGGTATCTGTGGAGGTGGTAACGTTGGCTGGTTTGTCGTCTCCCGCAGTGAGAGCTTGCTGACTGGAGTGAAGAGGTGGCGCGGTGGGGGTGGGTGGGTCGAGAACACAACAGAACAGAAGAGAACAGAAGCCTGTTGAGGTCCACGGGGTGACTTTGTTGTCAGTTGTGGATGGGAGACAAAGACGACGTTTTATCAGGTTGTACCAGAACAGGAGCAGGTCGCAGTCCAGTGTGTTGAAGAAATGTTGTTGTGTAAAATTTGAATTTCAGGCTGCTGCATGTATTATTTTAAGATGATAATAAATCAATAGTACAGCAAGTTATGAGACATTTGTGTAATTGATGCAAACTGAACAATAACTGAGGAGACTAGCAGCCTCTGTTGACCTCTGCACTGCACACATCGAGCCACTGGTTGGATTTCAACAGAGGCCTCCCGGTTACTGTCTGCAGAACACACTGATCATACAAACGGATGGATGGATGGATGGATGGATGGATGGATGGATGGATGGATGGATGGATGGATGGATGGATGGATGGATGGATGGATGGATGGATGGATGGATGGATGGATGGATGGATAGATACTTTATCCCCTAGGGGAAATTCATGTGTCCATTAGCTCATTGTTGATAATAATAATAACAGTTAACAGAAACTGAACAAAAGCTTTTAGTTTCTTGTTACAAAGTAGAGAAAAAGTGAAAAGGCCAGTGAATAAATCACAGTTGTTTTAAGCTTTATCTTTGAGGTGTTGGGCTGCAGCTAATAATTATTTTCAGTATTGATTAACCCACTCATTTCCTCATTTCATTGATTATTCATTTTGTCTCTAAAATGTCAGAGAATAATGAAAAATGCCCGTCACAGTTTTCCAGAGTTCTTCATATGTCATGTTTTGCTGGAACAAGGAAATGGATTATCTGCTTAGAAATGTCTGACAAGGAGTCAGAGTGAGTCCAGCAGGAACGTGTGAGAGGAGAAATGAATCAGTGGCGACAGGATGACGTCAGGTGTTCTTGAAGAGACAAACTCCAAAAAAAATGGGCAAAAAGCTTTCCTCAAGCCTTTTTGTACAAAGCTAAATATTTGAATTATGTGTGTGCAGTGTGACTTGATGTTTCTCGTTTGTTTTTCAGATACACATCTGGTGATGTGAGGCTGTGGGATACACTGCACTGGGACTCCAAAGCCTCGTTTCTAAAGCCCAACAGCCTGTCAGCTTACACGGACCCCAGACCACATGTTAGTCACGTCCGGGTCAACAGCACGGTGGCTGCCGCTGCTTATGAAGATGGTAAGTGTGTGTGTGTGTGTGAACTATGGACACTTCTTGGTGAGAGTGAGGCATCACAATCATTGATATATCCATCATATCTTTGGGAAATCGTCATGTTTTAAATAATCAAACAAAAAAAAAATGGGTAGTAGTCAGACTGTGTGTCACCCCTCAGTCACTGTGTAGTCACTGTCACGGTCACTGTGCTATCCTCGGCAATAGGCTGTGTGGACCTGTGGAGCACAGAGACGGGCGGGCAGCCCCTCTACCACTACCAGAGCCCAGGGAGGATCCAGGCCTTGGCCCTGAGCCCCGACAGCCCCGTGCTGGGCTCCGCCGCGGGGCCTGACGTTCGGCTCGACGCTGCTGATGATTGCGGCTACTGGAGGACAGTCTGCCGGGCCCAGCTACCTAAGACTGTAAATCAGGCAGATTAATTCTTTGTATGTGTGAAATGATCCATACTGACGTGTTATTGTTTTAATTAATTGGTTGCACTTCACACATTCTCCTCTTGTGACTTTCATCTGAAAATGTTTTATTTTTTATGGGAAATAATGATGGAAGCATTTGACACCCTTTTCCAAATATTGAGGCTCCACAGCTTCTGGCAGGAAATTGTAGTAATGTTGAAATAATTACTTGATTAATTATTTAGTTGACCAGTTCTGATCAGCTGTTCAAGTCTTTAATCTGGGAAAAATGCAGAAGATTCGTCGGTTCCTAGTTTGTTGAATATAAGTATTTTCTGCTTTTGTCAGATTATATATAAAATACATATTTCAGTATTAAACTGTTTTGAAATGAAAATGTATAAACATTTTTTGATACATTTTAGAAATTAAACAAATGTTCTATTCATTAATCTATCAATATTCTTCAGTTGCAGCTGTAAACTGAAAACATTTTATAGTAAATCTTCAAGGAATTAAAACATCTTCTTGAAAAAGATATTTGACATTTTTTCCTTCTAAAATCACTTTTGGCTGTAATTTGTTTGGAATTTAAGCTGCACAACAAATACTTAAAATAGTGAAATGAAGTTAAATGCTTTACATATCACAGCAGTATGAGTTCAGTAAACTGTCTGTCGGTCTTGGTCTGCGTGGCAGGTGGAGAGCCTGGTATTGGTGCCGGGCAGGGGTCAGCAGGGCCCACTGGCGGCCCTGGCAGCGGGAGAGGCTGTGCTCCTGCTGGACCCACGAGATGACGAGCCGCGGACGCTCCACTCAGTCTACGGCCATCCCGTCACTTGCCTGGACGCCTCCGACTCCAATGTCGCACTCGGGGTAAAGCGCACGGGCTGGGCGATGCACGACGGAGGCAACAAGGTGGGTTCAGTGTGTCTGTACAGTTTCTGTGAAATATATATTATATATATAAAGTGTTTCAGCCACTGGCAACTACTGACTAGCGAACGACTGATTTCCAGTAAATAGTGTAACATTAGCCGTTAGTAAAATATCAGCAATTCGGCAAGATGTTTCGCTCGGACTCTAGATTCATGATTCATTTGCACCTCAAGGTTGATAAACTCTGAATTTACATGGACAGCCATGGTGGAGGTGTGGCTTCACAAGATTACCAACATGGGAAACTGACCCAGATCGTAGATCACACATGAGTGCTTTGGAAGGCAGGTCTCATTCAGCAGACTTGTTCAAAGCAAAGTGAGCCAATTAATTAGAAAAAAAAAAAATCTCAAAAGAAATCAATCAGAGATAAAATATCACAAGTTGTCATTATTACTCACTAATCTGCTGAAAAATCTGTATTTTTCCAGAAAAAGAGACTGGTAGTGTTATTTAAATATTAATAGATCTACATGCTGCCACCAACTCATGTATAGTGAAGATGATTATCTAGTTCATTGTGAGCAGCACTCTCGTGTGGAATAACAATCTGGTGTTTGTATGTTAATGGAATTGATGGAGCTGTATCAAATCCTCTTTTGTGCTTTCTGGAACTGAAAAGTCTCCGGAAGAGAAATAAACCCAAACAAAAGCTTGAATGTTGACAAACTAGATGGCAAAGCCTCAGAGATCTGCAGCTGGATTTTAGATGTTTTGTTTAAAAAAAAAAAGAAAAACAGGCTACCCAGACCCTACTAATTGAAATGAAAGGTTTCCAATAGACTTAACAAGGTCACTTGTGCTCTCAACAGGTGCATAATGAAAAAATGGGAAATTATACAAGGAAAATAATTTGGTTTGCTCAATGTTTTTTCTTTTTAGGAATATAATTTATTGTGGGGAAAAGCAGTGCAGACAGAGCTTTTTGTTATTAGGCCATTATCAGTTTAACCACTTGCTTTGAGCTGACTTCTTCCCTGTTTTCTGCTAAATGCACTAAACTATTTTGGAGAAAACATGCCTCCTGCCTTTTTAAACATAGAGCAGACTTACATTACTGTTCCACGCTTTGCAAACAAAGATTGTTCCCTAAATGCATCTCATGTGTGTTAATGTAAACTGGGTGTCTTGGCAGTGTGGTCCCCTCAGTCCCCCTCTGTCCCTTTAGAAATGAATACGATGTACCTGCAGGGAATTTGTTTATAGTAGAGATAGCTAGCTTAAATAGCAACGAGCCCAACTTGGGCCCTGCTCCTAATTACTGCAGCCTTGAAGTGTTCATGTTCCCCGAGCTGCATCTGTTTGTTTCTAATAATGTTGTGTTTCTAAGGTCCACATGCACCTAATTGACTCTGAAGCCTTTACTTAGAAAGTACAAAGAGCCACGAGACGAGCTACTCTGTTGGGATCAGGAAGCAAATATGCAGCCAGTAATTTTACTTTCAAGCTCGCTTCATCGAGATACATTGTTTTTTTTTAAACAGAGCAACACCCAAAGATCATTTTTTCATTCAAAAAGTAGATGTGTTGTGGGACAGGTGGTAGCTTTGAAACAGCCACACCTGTAGGCTGTTTGCGCGCGCAGCAATCTGTTTGTGATCGACAGGTTATTGGCAAAGTTGCTACGCTGACGTCACTCGTACTAGAAAAGTGCAGCTGATGTACTGTACAACACACTCACAAACACAGTGGCAGCACCAAAGCACCACATAGTGGACAAAGGGAAGAGTAGCAGTGAGAGGTACAGTATAAAGGCCTGACCTTATCATGAAATAAAGCTACATTAGGTGATGTGTTTTGTTATCCGATTGAATCTGCTCTGTAACTAGGAAGAAAAGAGTCAAGATGAAAGTGGTTTTTAGGTTCAGGGACCCAGTGAGAAGAGAAAATACTTTTCTTAAAGGCATTATGTTATTGCATCATAGTGTTTCTTGAAATTATTTTATTGGACTACTTACAGCGGATTTATTATATTTCACTTGGAGTTGAAACAATTAGTCGATTCACTGATTAGGTGCTCTGATCCGAGGCTGCATAGCGTTTCTCTGTTTTATATAAATTTAAATTGATGATGTCACTTTAGATACTAGGAAACTGGCATTAGCATTTTGCACTATTTTCTGACTTTAAAATTAAATTATCAACAGATCAGTCAATGATAGAAGTTCTCATTAGTTTCCTCCTTGATTAAAATTTTATCCCAAAGATTGAAGTGTAATTCCCAATATTGTTATTTGCATTGGAGCTTTCCTACATTTTCTTCTTCTGTGCGTTAAGAATTTTGTGTCTGTTTTTTCGTCTTCTGAGAAAACTTCAGCTGCCTTGGGAGTTGTTGCTGAAATAACCCCCCAAAAAAACCAAATGAATCATTGTACGCTCATTTTCAGCCAAGCAAATAAATTTGTTGTGACTTGAGTTTATAGACTCATATTCATCTGAAATTTCTATCTTTAGCATAAACATTTCCAAAGTTCAAGGTAAAAAGCAGAAGCTCACTTCCTAGTAAGTTTTACATTTTAGATTCAGTTTTTTTGTTGCACAGAGACGCAGAAAATCTTTCCTGTTTCTACGGTGAGGTTAGCCCAAACTCCCATCTAAATGATACCGATTCATGATTAGCATACCTCTCTTACTAATTAACATATTTTGCAAATTTAATCAACTTGTCTGTCACTCTTGTCACGCTTCTAACAGCAATTTCGTTCTGCGGAGACGATGAGGAATCAATGGCTGCAACCGGTTGTGATGACAGACACTTTTTTATCCAGCAAAAAAAAAAAACAAAAAACATATGCTTCATTAAAATCTGTCAAAATGCATGGAGGTGGCATCCAAGGAAGTCGTCTCACACCTTTTTTCCCCCCACAGAGGAGTGAAACTTTTTAATTTACAGCATTTTGACTCAGATGAACTCAACCACATTGTCATGTTTTTGTTAACTTGACTCAGACTCGGTGGTTCTCACTGATTTCTCCTGGAGTTTTGTTTCAAAATCTGACGGTACAAAAGCTGCTTTGTCTCAATGACAGAGAAGAGTCTTTCTTGTATCTTGGCCTGTATTATCATAGCTCGCGGCTTTGTCTTCTAGCCCTCCTCATCTTTGGTGGTGTTGTAAGTGGGTGTGTGTGTGTGTGTGTGTGTGTGTGTGTGTGTGTGGTCAAAACCAGTCTCCAGATCCTCATTACTACTCGTCTCCTTCTTGCCAGTGGACTAGGGGGCACCCAGGCATCCACCCAGCTCGTGGCTGGGCATTCAACACAAGCTGGCATCTCCACTGGCAGACTATCCAGTCACTGCAGTGGATCCGCCACAGAGCACAAGTGCAGTCAGAAAAACTGTTATCCACTCATTGTCTCAAGTTCAGAGGGCTGGATGGATGAATGGAAGGCTAAATGAATGGCTTGGTGTACAGTATATATGCATACGAGATATATGTATGGACAAACAAAAGCAGGATGGATGAAAGTATCGTCACAGATTAGGATCAGGACATCAGTCATTAGGCTCATGGACAGCTGATGTATAAAGCAACTGGTTTTAGTCGGCAGTGGCGTCCAGATAGGTCACAGCAGAGACTGGGCAGTGACAATATTATGACAGTATTAGTTGAAGACTTTGCCTCAGATTTCAGTAACCCAATTCACATAGCGCACATGAATTTAAAATATGTACAGAGTGGACATTTGGCTTCTAGGCTCTGACCTTGTCACTCCCCACAAACATATACACAAAGATCAGAGCAGCAGAGACCAACCACAAAGGATGCAACACTTAACACTAGCCATTACGTGTACTAGAAGATGAAATAGCACAGCTATCAGAAACATGGGAAGTATCTGCACATGAGTAACTCTTCGGTGGTTTGCTGTAAATAAAGTTTGAGACGCTGCTCTGTCCTGTGAGATGAGCCGGAAATGCCAAATGACACCCAGCCACAAACCATTGCCATTATTGCGTATCTGGTCCAATGCGGTAATCTCCACATGGTGTTTGTCCACATGGTGTGTCTGAATCCATATTTGTTTAGATGTGGGTGTTTGTGTATGTTGGGTATGGTGAATCATGGTGCCCCGGAGAGCCAAGCAGTCTGGAGGTTTTTTTTTTATTCAAACTATTCATCTCAGCAGCTTCATTTCAGTGGTGAGTTCCTCCCTTCTACTTGAGGGAGCATTAATCAGTGACATCAGCTGGTGGAGTCTTTGGTTGGAGTGAAAACCTGCAGATAGTTGGCCCTCCAGTGGCGCATGGTTTTCCATTCCTGGTCTGTGATATGATATTTAAGATGAATTAAAAAAAAAACAAAAAAAACATGTCAAATCCTACACTTTAACCAACAACACAGGCGACAGAAACACAAAAGGTTTGATCTAAAGTGCGGCAAAATGTTTCATCTTCAGAAAGCAAAAGAGACTAATTACATTAACATCCCAGTACAAGCCACCATTAGAGTTTCTTTTGTCTGCAAGCCTCATCGAGCCTCCAGCGAGTGCATTAACCTAACAACTCCTCTACAGTTGTGCTCATGATTACTCTTCGCCAAAACGTACGCCTGCAGCCTCTAAATAGCCCCCCCAGTATTGTCCTCAGTGACATTTCCTCATTTTGGTGGGCGAGGTAGCCCGATATCTAATAAAAAATGTCTGCCTGTAATGATTCATTGACAGCAGCAGCCCCCCCCCCCCCCCCCCCCCGCCCCCCCCCCCCCCCCCCCCCCCCCCCCTTTCTCAACTCGTCCCCCTCTCTTCCGCTGTCCAAATCCTATCAAGCTGTCATTTCAAAGTCCGGTGTGATTTGGGCTTTGCCCCTGGGTGGTGCACAATTAAAGCTCTGCTTAGCCCAAATAAGGGATACATAAAAACTGCTGGCACCTCCTCAAAGCTTACATCATACCTCCTTTTTTTCCTCCCTTCCTTCAGATTTCTTTATCTTTGTCACTCTCTCTCTTTCTTGCTTTCTGTCATTCCTTTTCTCTCCTACCT